TCCAGAAGCTACTTAAAGAAGATAACATTTGTAGAATATACATGTGCCACTCAGTCACTGTGGATCACCTCCCTTTATTCTCAAAATTCTAAGAGGAAATGGGTTCACGGAGGTTTAACATGCTCAAATCCACAGTGAGTGTGTGGCAGAATAAGATTTAAAATCTAGTCTACTTCTCTCTAGAATCAGTGAGCCCTACCTGGTTTATAGGATTGAAATCACAAATATCTGTCCAAGTTGAAGAAAATGTTTCTTAAGAACCCAATATAAAACTTTAAGTTTAATATTCTATTATGTATAATATAGCTCACTAACAGTTGGATTTGGCTAAACAGTAAGTTCAATTACATATCCAGAAACATAAAGTCACAAGAGTCTGATTTGGACTATTTATTACCTTTCTCAACACTGTCTTCCAAGATGAGAAACAAAATCTATTGAATATAACTGTGTCTCTAGTTATAACTCACTTAATGTCAGCGGTCCTTTCCTCTTAATAGATGTGTTAAAAAATGTTTGCATTGTCAGCATTTAGGAGGGACTCGCTCCCCTCTTTTCTATTTAACCATTTGTATATGAAAAATATATTCAAGTAACCTTTTTCTTTCAACAAAGCTTAATTCGGGCAAGGGATTTACCAAAGTGGGTTACCAATGGTTAATTCCAACTGTCACAAACACAGATTACTGATAGTTGGTTTTCTATCTGTGAAAGATCTTAACACTTAATGTGAAAAGGAAAAAGATATTTAGAACTTAGCCCAGCTGAGGCAGCTCAGTGGATTGAATGTCGTCCCATGGACTGAGAGGTCCTGGTTCAATTCCCAGTCAGGGCATGCCCAGGTTTCCCACTCGATCTTTGGTAGGGGGCGTGCAGGAGGCAGCTGATCAATGTTTCTCTTTCACGTCGATGTCTCTCTCTCTCCCCCTTCTTCTCTCTCTAAATAAATCAATAAAAAACATACTTAAAAAACGATATTTAGAACTTCAATACAATTTTATGTTTAAGAGCCAAAATAGCTGCTGGTTTTCCTATCAATGAATATGTAACAGTGAATAAACAGAGAATGGAACGATGCTGGAGGGGGGTTGGGGGGGGTCAGGAGAAGGGTGTCTATGGGGAAAAAGGGGAAATATCTGTAACAAAAATAAATTAATTTAAAAAATAAAAGAAATTAATAGAAAAAAGAAAAAAACGAGCAGAGTTTTCTCAGGCTGGTAGCAAAAGAAAAAGTTAAAGAGATCTGAAGTATAAAGATTTCACATTCTGATGATGGCTTAAAAATGGAGGAGGCCACGTAGCAAGGGCTGTGGCAGCTGTCTCTACATGCTAGAGCAGGCCTCGGCTAATGGCAAGCAAGGGATTATGGACTCAAGTCCCACAAACACAAGAAACTGAATTCTGCCCATCACCAGAATGAGTTTGGAAGAGAACAATGAATCCCGATGAGAACACCACCAGCCCATACTTTTGATATTAGCCTAAGCAGAGAACTCAAACACATCATGTTCAATTTCTGAGCTTCCAAACTAGAGATAATAAATGGAAATTGTTTTAAGCCGGAAAATAAATAAAATAAACAAAAAATTAAACAAAGAATGGAATTAGAATGAAATAGAGATTTCTTCCCCCAAGTCTGGAGATGACTCAACATGTGGCTTTGGTTGATATTCCCAAAGAACACACTTTTTAAATAATGCCAAAGGGAAATAATAAATTAGCTTAATTATCCTATCTTTATAAAATAAGGGCCAGAATGTTCTTCAAAATAACGTTAAAAATGGAAGTGAACAAGCAAAGAGGTTAGGCAGTCTGCTTAAATCTTCAACAGGAGACATGGGAGGAAACAGTGTTTGAATTAGATCCTTCAAGGTACACAATGTTCTTTTTACTTGACAAAGAGGAGTGTATCTGGGATTCTAGCACAGCTTCAACAAAAAGATATAAAATAACTACTGATGTTGCTGCTTAGGTGGAGAGTGATAGAAAAACAGGGGTTTATGGATGTTAGAATTGCCAATGAGAAAAAATTTTTTAAATGCTTACCCAATGCATCTCCTAAAGGTTTAACTTTGGCTGTCTTAGATTGCTAGCATAATATTCATTACAGAAGACCTACAGAATGTGAATGTGAAGGTTTGTAGTTCTATTAATTTGAACTAACCTGTGAGGTCCATAAAACAAAGTGATTTGTTACTCTGCTGAGGCAGGAATTGAGTCCCAAGGCTGAACCTGGGAGCAACTCATTTCATCAGTGAGTGAACCTAGCCAACCACTGACTTCGTTATTCTTATTTAATCTTTAGATAATCCTATGTGGTATGTGTGTCCTTATTTAATAGATGTGAGACAGAAATTATTTTCTATGGTGGCAATAATGAAGGCGTTAGGATGTGTTCTGTAAAGAATGACAAGGGTCTACTACACTATACATTTCTAGTATAATAAAATACTACTCAAGAGTGAAAATTTAAGATACTTCCCAAATTATATCAAATTCTCCCTCTTGTGAATGATATCCTACATTCACGTGATCACATTCTCCTTTGACAGTAATGTCTCCCTAGCTGAGTGATGATTCACCTGTTATTTTAAAAAAGAGATAAATAAAAGTACACACAAATATAAATTTTCATCATTAGACACAAAGTAAGCATTTTCTCAAGTGGCTTAGATCATTGCAGGCACTACTGCATGTATTATACTAATGAATGATACACCATTACTGTCCCTTTACCCAGATCAGAATAATACAGGCAGGTTAGTTTAATGGAAGGCATGAAGAATTGGGAAAGAGGCCACTCAACTTTTCTATGCTTCAATCTCCTCACTAACCAAATATTCTAGTGAATGAGTGGTACAAAGGAACCTGTCAGAGCTTTTGTGTGGTCCAAACAGCATAATAGGTGAAGGTGTATCTAAAAGTTCAAATTTTAAGTAAATGCAAGGTACTGTAGATTTAATTTGGATAAACATGAATTCAGTACTTATTATTGTGTTTCATTACAGCTTTACTGGCTGTTCAAAAGAAGCATTAGGGAGCACATGAAAATAAAAGAAACTGAATAGGTATAGACTTTGTGGAGGTACAAGGAGAAGGGTAGCTTGGTATCACGTGTGGAGAAAACACAATCAGATTTTGAGAGATATACAAGTCAACCTTATTAGAATCCCTTGTTTAATCTGCCCCTTTCCTACCAGCAGCAAACTCATCATGACATGCTTCTTCCAAATTATGTATGTAATTTGGAAGGAAAAAAGCTGGGAAACTGTAAACACCAAATGAGATATATAAAAGGTACCTCTCCACTTTGAATAATTACAAACACTTAAAAACACGGTGACAGGAGGCAGAAATGCCACTGGCTCTGGAAATGGTTTTCTATAGTCTAACCACACAAGCTCACTTTTTGTATTTAAAGTCAAGGCAATTTTTTGTTTATCTGGTACTTTTGTCATTTTGCCTAATAATGCAGTTTCAGTATGTTACTCTTCCCAAATCACTTCACCTTGGTGAAACATTAAAAGTGGGATGAGCATTTAGAAGAGTGTACTCATATTATCCCGTTTTCCCATTAAGGCTAAGTGCTCTCAGTAGCCACCTCCCTCATCTACACCCTTCACTCAGCAAAGTATTTGAGCCCTTATTTTGTGCCAGGAACAGGGGTAACCATGTATACAGGACCCACATGATACCTGTCTCTGTCCTCAAGAGGGAGACTGAACAATTAAGTGCATGAGTTCAAAAATTACAAATTGGAATTTAACACAGAAAAGTAGACAGAACTATTTTAAAAAGGATAGTAAGGGCCCTGGCCGGTTGCTCAGTTAGAGCATTGGCCAGCAGACCAAAGGGTCTAGTATTCGATTCCTGGTCAAGGGCACATGCCTGGGTTGCAGGTTTGATCCTGGCCAGGTCCGGCTCATTCAGAAGGCAATCAGTCTATGTGTATCTCTCACATAGATGTTTGTTTCTCTCTTCCTCCCTCCCTCCCGCTCTATCTAAAAATCAATGGAAAAATCCTCGAGTGAGGATTAACCAAAAAATAAGTAAATAAATAAATAAAATAGATAAATAAAAAGGATGGTAAGGGAAGGCCAACTCTAGGGAGATTTAGTCAAAGAGGAGCCATTTACGCCCACATGGTGTTTGTGTGTACACACCCGTCAGGGGCAGGAGTAGGTCGAGTATTCCAGGAACAGAGATCAGAAAGTGCACCTGAGTGGAAAAACGCACTAGAAAGGCTGGCAGAAGGGATGCAGCGGCGGTCTGTGTAATGAAGACTACTGAGCAAGCGACATACAACGAGACTGTAAACCTGGGTGAGGACCAGGGAGGGCCTTGTAAGTCACAGCAAGGAGCCTGGATTTTATCTTAATGCAATGGGAAGTCATAGGATTGCTTCAGACAGGTGAATTACACGATGCGTTTTTGTTAGAAGACCACTCTGATAAAATGAGGAGTGTGGAGAAAGGGTTTCAACGGGTAAACGTAAGTCAGACACAATAATTAATCACTTCCCCAGGTCTCAGATTTACCATCTGTAAAGCATGTGGTTTGAGCTAGAAGCCATTTCCCTCTCGCTGCGAAGTGCCTAGGCAGTGAGGTCCGAGAGCCCCGGGCCCTGTCATACTGCTCACGGAACTCCCCTCATCCCGGCCGACACCCAGCACGCAACTGGCACCGGGAAACTGTTGGTCGGCGCAATCAATGAACGGCCTGTGCCGGCCGCGAGAGAGGCGCTCTGGCCGCGATACCAGGCCCTTGGGCCGGAAAAGAACGCGAAACGCCGCGCGAAATGCCACGAGACGGCCGGCGAGGGAAGTGGGGGCTGGTTCCATCTTGGCCAAGTCGTGGCGAGGAGGGGGGTGGGGTCCTCGTGGGTTGAGAGCAGGAGGAGCTGGACTCCGGGAACGACACAGGGAGCTAGGAGAGGAGGCGGCCGAAAGGCATCGCCAAAGATGGGTTCTGGGCCCGGTCCGGGCAGCCCAGTCACTTACCGCAGCGGTCGCCAGACTGTGCATGTTGGGAGCGGCCGCCGCTCTACGCCCACCGCCGGACGCGTCCGAGCCACGGCCCAGCTTCAGCGCCTCTGCCGCCAAAGATGAAGAGCCGCCGCAGCCGCCATCGGCCTTCAGCTCGCTCCGCCCCTCGCAGCCCTATGACCTTTCACCCCTGACCCCTCCCACACAACTTCTTCCCGCCTCCCAGCTCTCAGGGGAGTTAATTCCAAAGTATGTTCCTTTGCCTGTTAAGGTTCAGAACCTAAAGGATATCCGCCACCTACTAGTCCCCGCATCCCTCGGCACTTATCCCCAGAAAGTAGCGTGAACTCCGACCCTCCTCCGGAGGCCAGTGAAGGGCGGGAAAAGCCGAGCAGTCCTGGGAAGACAAATAGTGCGCATGCCCCACTGGGCAGACGAAGAGAAAAAGGGGGGAATCGAAAGTGAATGGTGAAGCTGCGCGTGCGTACTACCGTCAGGAAGGGGCGGAGCTGCCTCCGCGAGACATCACTCGGTACTGGGGCGGAGCGAGGGCGTGGAGGGGCGGAGTTTGCAGCTGGCGCGCACGCGCCTCGTCCGGTCGAGTCGAGTGTGCGTGCGTGCGTTGCGTGTTTGCGTGTGGTCACAGTTCCCGCCATCAGCTGCTCTCCCTGATTCGGGGAAGCGAGTTATCCCTCTTCTTGCTCGGCGTCCTTTCCTTCTTAACCCCATTCCTCCCCCTCCGAACGGACTCCGTGCTTCCAGCCGGCCCGTCGGGGCTCCGGACTCGCAGGCACAGGTAAGACGGGCCCAGCGAGCTTCTCAACTGAGCCGTTTTCCCCAGGCCCCCCTCCCCCCTGCCCCGTGCGGTCCGCCCACTCGGTGTTCACTCTTCTGGAGTTCTCCTTGCTGCTCTTCAGCCTGCCCCCATCCCCTCGACGCTCCCCTGGCCTTAACAGTACTCCATTTGGGTTTTTCCCTAGACTTTCCTTCTTTGACCTGGTCTTTACTGTCACTCGCTCCCTCTGCTACCCGAACCTACTCCGTTTCGCTGGGGGTTGTCGCCGTCCGCCACTCTCCCCTAACGAGGCCTGCGAACTGTAAAGGGAACTTAGGTCGCCGCACATTCATCAGGCCTTGGACAGGGTAGTCTCTCACTCCCTTGACAGTTCTTCACCTTCTTTCCTCTCCTAACCATTTCTCAGTAAAAGGCATGGATAGTAATTTTGTCGTGCATTTGGAGAATTGCTCCCCGACTCTAGCCATCAGATCAGGTTGTCAAGTTTACCTATTTTAGTTTATGGTCTATGGAAGGAAATAATAATTGATGACTAAATCCTGTGTTTTAGAAAGTTGGCCTGTAATGGTTTTGTGATAATTCTTTCAAAATCTTGGCTCTGTGTAAATGCCTTTTTGGGTGTGACGGTATCTGAAAAGTATCTTAACTAGAAGAGATATCTAAGAGAGGATGTCAAGTAGACATATTGGTTGGAGCTCAAAGGAGAGTTCTGGGGTGGACATACAGATAAATGTATTAATGTCATCTTCCACGTTGATGGTAAAAAGCTATGGATGTGGGTGAAATTGTTTAGTATAGTGCTAGAAAAGAAGGGGACCAAGGATGGAGCACTGAGGGATTCTTGGCGTTTAATTGGATAGAGGAATGAAAGTCTTGTAAAAGAGATGGAATAAATAATCTGTAGGGTTGAATTCTGCTGAAAGGTAAAGTTGAATGAGGGCTGAGAAGCCCAGTGAAATCAAAATAATTGATGAGCATAACGAGAGATGTTTGATGGTGTAAAATGGAATGTCTGGGTTCAGTCCTAGGTCCTGTGCTCTTTTTATTCTTCCCTTTCCACCCTTAGCTTTAAATTCCACCTGTGAATTTTTATTTCCAGCCCAAGATCTAAATAGTCCCTGTCTGCTTGAAATCTCAGCTTAATTTTTTTCTTAGAAATTTCAAAATATAGCATATCTAAAACCAGTCTTAATATTTCCCTCCATGCCCATATTCATTCCCCTCCAGTATCCCATGTCATTAAGTGATATATCTATTTATCCATTTACATAGGCTAGACACTTGAAATCCATTCTCAACTTCTCCCTCATCCCATGTAGTCATACTCTCTTCAACTTCTGTTTAGTCTATTTCCAATATATGTCTTGACTCTATTTCTGCACATCTTCAGGATCACTTTTCTAGTTAAAGCCATAATCTTCAATAGCTGGACTTAATGTCATATGGGAATAAACATCACCTTATTGGATTGTTATGAGGATTAAATGAGATAACCATAGTAAGCACATGGCATACAGTAAATAACCAGCATTACTTACTATTATAAGCTGAATCACTTTAAGTAGTTTTCTATTTGGTTGCCCTGTTTTCTTTTTTTTTTTTAATCCTCACCCGAGGACATTTTTCCATATTTTGCTCAGATAGAGTGGAAGTGGGGGAGAGAGAGAGATGAGGGGGGGAGGGAGAAACATCGATGTGAAAGGGACACATCGAGTGGTCGCCACCTGCACAACCCAACCAGGGCCGGGGACAAACTGCAACCGAGGTACGTGCCCTTAGCGGGAACCGAACCCAGGTCTCTCTGGATCGCAGGCCGACACTCTAACCACTGAGCCAAACTGGCCAGGGCCTGTTTTCTTTTTTTCTTGCCTCTTTCGCTCTCCTCCCCAAACCAAACAAACCATATCACTTGTCCATTCACCAGTAATGTGTGATTTCTCTGCTTAAAACTCTTCAGTGGATCGATGTTTCTCACATAGATATTTCTCTCTCTCTCCCTCTCTAGCTAAAAAAAAAAAATCAATAAAAACATATCTTAAAAACCCCTCCAGTGGGTTTCCCATTACTAAGTGTTTATTACATTTAGGGTAAAATTCAGAATCCTTACAATGGTCTACAAAATTCTGCATAACCTTATTCTTTCCTGCTTTACTAACTTCATTTTACACCATCCTCCTTTCCCTCTCTAAATTCCAGTCACACTCTTTTCATTTCTTCAGTCATACCAAATTATTTTCTGTCACAGGGACTTTGCACATTTTGTTTTATTTGCCTGAATTGTTCCAGCAGGACTGTCTTTCAGTTAACTCATTCTCCAGTTTTCAACTTAAGTGGTACTTCCTCAGAGAAACCTTCTTTTGATGCTATCTAACCACTAACTCTTTAAGTCTTAAATGAGGTACCATATTATAATCTTCCATCATGCCCAGCATTTTATGTCATTTTTCAAACTTGTAATTATATATTTATTTGTGTGATTATTTAAAGTCTGTCACCTACTAGAATATAAGCTAGTAATTATTTCATTTTTGTTTCTCAAAAATGTGTTAAATGAATAAGTAAACTGAAGCTTGCTGTAAGAACCATTATGTCTGTTGCGAGCACCAACTTACTGATATTCTTGTTATTTTATTGTTTACTCTGCAGACAAATCAAAGAACACAAAAGAAAAAAACCAAAGGGTTTCCCCTGACTTTGGATGATTTAACATTCTTATGTCATAATATCATTCAGATTTTAGACTCTTTGAAGTGGAGATAAAGTTTATCTGGGTCAACTCTCTTTCAGCCACAACACTAATTTTATCTCTGTGCATTTGTTTTATGAGTCTTTTTTAAGAAGGAAAAGCCCTTAGAAATCAGAGCAGTGTTTTATATATCTCAACAGGCTAAACTATGAGACCAGTGAGGATGATGTTTTTATGAACAAAAAAGGTTAATGTCATATTTAAGTAAGTTGTTGGTGGTGGACCTGGAAGAAAATATCAAAATTTAGTAATTTGTGTGCATGTAGAATAGCATTGTTGTTGAGAAGTAGAAAATAAAACATAGGAAGTGTATGAATGCCAAACATAGAAAGGCATTTGAATTTATTTTATAGATAATGATGAGCTGTTAAAAATGTTTGGGAAAAAGTTTCAGTTAATCAAGTTGAGTAAGTTCTAGAGGTATGCTCTACAACATTGAACCTATAGTTAACAATACTGTATTGTACACTTAAAAATGTGTTAAGAGAGTGGATCTCATGTTAAGTATTATTAACACAATGAAATTTTAAAATGTTTGGGAGGGAATTGGCATCAATGGCAAGTATATAGCACTTACAAAGTGCCTGTTATTTTGCAGGAGTACAAAAGGAGAACAGGTCCTCCTATCTCTCTCCCACTCCAGGGAGAAAGTTGAGACAATTACTGCATACTTTCTTTGGTAAGAGATAAAACGAGTAGTTTTTTAGAAAGGGTAAAGGATTCATTGGATGTAAAAAATCCTGAGGGAATGAAGACTAGAAAGTGGTTGCTGCAACCACTTTCATTAATGAAGATGCAATATGGTAGTGGTTATAAACATAGGTCCTGATGTTAGACTGACTTTTGTCTCTTATTGATTGTGTACACATGGATAAATTATTTGATCTCTCTAAGCCTCGGTTTCCTCATCTATAAATAGTGATATTAATACCTGTCCCTTAGGATTATTGTGAAAATAAATGCACATATGGTGCTTAGCATTATGCTTAGTAAATGTGTAATAGATATTCAATGAGAGTGGTGGCAAAGTGATGCGTTTTTGAATTAGGTTAGTAGTTAACAAAAAGACTGGGTTTTAGGTAAATAAGAATGAGGTTAAAGCTGATGCTAAGATTTTTTTTTTTTTTTTTTTTTTTTGCCTGAGTAATGGTGGAAGGAAAGTGTAGGGAAGTCTGGGGAGCCTCTTGGGGGCATGGACTGATATTTTTGCATTTGTATCCCTACCACACAGTGCTATCAAATTGGAATAGCTCAATAGATAATTTTTTAGTAAGTGAACAAAGGTGTTTAAAGTTGATGTTAATAGCTTTCAAGAAAGCATTGAGAGATTTTAGAGAAACCCATAAAGTTAGTTTGGAAAAAAGTAAAAACTAAGTTTATCAACCTTTTGAAATTTGTAACAGCACATGATGGAAGTGGTATTTTAAGACATAAGACATCATTATGTAACAATGTTTATAAAGTCAACAAAGGATGTATTCTTTTTCACTGCCTTCTTAGTTTCAAAATGTAGCATGGATAAATAAACCAAGACACCAAATGGATCAAGGTGCAGCTCCTGAAGTCCCTCAATTTGTACACAGATCCCTAAAGTTTTATTTCTCGTGTGTGTGTGTGTGTGTGTGTGTGTGTGTGTGTGTGTATCTTGAGCATTATGTTTTAAATTTTTCTGTAAGGTTAAGTTTGTGGTTTTTGTTTTTGTGTTTTTTTTATCCTCACCCGAGGACATTTTTCCATTTTTTTGTTCATATAGAGTGGGGGGGAGGGGAGAGAGAGAGAGAAACATCTACGTGAAAGGGACACATCGAGTTGCCACCCACAGGACCCAATCGGAGCTGGGGACAAACTGCAACCGAAGTACATTCCCTTAGCGGAAACCGAACCCGGGTCTCTCTGGACCATAGGCCGACGCTCTAACCGCTGAGCTAAACAGTCAGGGCAAGTTTGTGGTTTTTAAATAATGAAAAAGTTAATCTTTGTTATATAAAATGATCACTTTAAAAATAATTTAAATTTTGTGTATTTGATTATTTTTAAAAGGCATGCTTATGTTTTCCTTAGCTGAGTCGATGGCTTCCAAAGAACTGGGATAACTGCAGAATATGAGTAGATCCCCAAGAAGATTGCACTGCCTTTGGCACAAGCATCAGAATAAAGGTGAATTGTTATTACATAGGGTTTTTCAGTAAAAGTCACTGAAAAGTAAGTAATGTTTTTATTTTAGATATGTTTCCAAGAGTGTGCATACTGGCAAGAATTGACACTTTTCTTCTATTTTGTAGTAACAGTTTTATGCTTTAGCATGCTTTCTTTACCACAGAATGCTCTTCTGGTTAAGGATATTTTCAAAGCAGTACCTAAAATAGGAGTATTTAAACATCTGTCCAGGATAGAGAAACATTTTTGGCAGTGTTATTAAGCTTTCATAGAATACTCAAAGTTGAACATTAACTTTAATAATTGTGAAGAAATTTAGGGAAAAGGGTAATCTCTCTGGGTGTACTTAAAGAATGAGTTATTATATTTCATTTTCCTAATATTGCTTTGATAGCGAATTAGCATTACAGAGTTCAGAGAAACCTTGTCTTTGTCCTAGGTTCATAGAAAGTTGAATAATTACTGGATTATGCTAAATACTAAAAAAGAAAACTTAGTTTTTTTTCTCTTAAGTAGGGGAAACCCTGAAAATATGATGAATGAATGTACAAAAATAGTTAATTTGTTGAGTTCAAGAACAGGTAATGGACTAAATTGAGGCATTAAGAAAAAGTTTTGTTTTATTTGTTCTGCCAGTTTCATGTCCTGTACCTTTCAGGTGTTGTTGTTTTTTTTCCTTTGAAGAAAGAGAGGTTGCTAGTAGAAAAGGTTAAGAAAACGTTAACTATCTGAAGTAAAATTTTATATATTTAATTAAACCTCTGCATCAAATATTTGAGAATTACATAGAGAGAAATTATAGAGAAACAGAAGTAACCAATTAAGTTTTTATTTCTGGTGTACTATAATGAACATTGAAATCTTCACCACAAATTTTTGTTAAATCTAGTTTTAAAAATATGTTTTTGTTGGAGGTATTCAAGGTCAACGACCATAATTTACTTTTGGTCAGTAAGGAAAACACTAAGATAATGGGGTTTTATTTTAATCTGTTTTAACTTGGCACCATGACCCATAATGACATTTTTTTAATGGTGAGGTAAAAGATTTGACAAAAATCTTAAGATGGAGATTCTTGATTGAGCAATGAATAAAATGAATCCCAATTTAGGCAACTTTACTAATGTGTTTGTTTAAATAATGCATTCTGTAACTGCATAAATGATTTTTGTTCTCATAAATGATTTTTCTCTCATTGAATCTTAAGATTTGAGAACAGCTATACATTTAGTGGAAAAGTTCAAATGCACATAGAGAAAGCTTAAGTGTTAAAAAGATGAGTTATGTGTAATACAGTGCATAGTGATAACTCTTGTAAAGAACTTCGTAGATATAACTCTACATTGGCCATATAAAAGGAATGTATGGTTCCAGTATCTGCTGTTGTGTATTTTAACACTAAATTGACAGCACTAATTTGTACAGTATTTTATTGTTGCTGTTTATTCTTGAACAGTGAGTTTATTTCTTGTATGTCAGACACTGTCCTAATGCCAAGATTAAAGAACATATTCTCTGTCTTTAAATAACAGAGTCTACAGAGTCTCGAAAGAGACAAAGAGGTAAGCAGAGAGTGTATGTAATGTAATGTGGTAAATGCTCTACTAGAAGTAAGCATGAGGTATAACAGGAGAATAGAGAAACATGAAACGGTCTCCGTGTGGATATGGAGTGAGAGAAAAGTGAAAGGAGTTAGGAAAGGCTTCTTAAAGAACTTAGTAGTTGAGCCTTGATTTTATAGACAGGAGAAGAAATTGTGGCAGGTGGGGAAAGTACATAAAAATCCTGTAGATATTGACCACAATGTGTACAAAGGTATAGAGGCATGAGAACATGTGGCTTTTTTAGGGAAATTATTAGTTCAGATGGCTGGATTTAGAGAACTTGTTGGGAATAGAGAGGTAAGGAGGACCTAGATCATGAAGGGGGTTTATGTCATGTTCATGAAGCCACATTTTATTATGAGGGCAATGGGGACTCATTGAATAATGTTAAGGAGGAAAATAATGTGATTTGATCTTCAGTTCATTATAAAGGTGTATGGAGGTAGAATTGACAGTACTCTGCCTTGACCATCTCCAATCCAATACTAATAATCATCAAGAGAGAAGTCAACGATAACTCTCATGTTTCTGGCATAGGCAACTGGATTAGGAGGGGGCACATATTATTGGCAGTGCTAGGAGACAGAGTGGAAAAAAATATCAAAGCATATATCCAAACAGTGAAGCACCCAATTTATTGCCAAATAAAAGTATTATAAACACATTAATGGCCTAAAATTCTGTAGTTACTGGTTTAAGCAAAATGTCATGTTAACAGACTGGATATAAACAGTAGTGGACTTGATTACTTGGATGGATTCATATACCCAGCAAATTGTACTATCTAAATCTAGCCACAGTAGGAACTCAAAAAATTTAATGAGATGAGTGAATAATAATAGAGGACTTACAGTGCATAACACCTTTTAACTATTCAAAGTGTTTTCATATCTCTTTTTAAATTTTATTCCCAGTTAGCTGATGCATAGTATCTAGAAGCCTCAAACCCAGTGGTCTCTGGGCTGTACCCTGCCTATAGGTGGGTTTTGTTTGATCTGTAGCTTTTAAAAATAACTTTGAATGCATTGCCCACAATTAAAAATGGGGAGCTTCCATTTACATAAAACTTTGGATGTCATTTTCTTGAAAAATTAGATGACCTGGCAATGCTAGGTTCACTATTTTCACATGATAAAATTGGCTGAATTTGAATAGCAGTTTGTTGTCTTAATCCTCACCTGAGGACATACTTAGAGAGAGAGGAAGGGAGAGAGGGAAATACATTGATGTGAGAGATAAACATTTATCAGTTGTCTTCCATATGCTTCCTGACCTGAGTCAAACCTGAAACCCAGGTGTACGCCCTGACCAGCAATGTAACTGACAGCCTTTCAGTGCACAAGATAATGCTCAACCAGCTGAGCCATTCCAGCCAGGCTGGATAGCATTTTTCATATTTTGCCTACCTAAGTCATTTGTGTGACCTGCCAGGCCTCTTTAGACATTTGAATTGGTAAACTTGGTAAACCCTGTTAACTTATGTGGCATTTTTGTAGAAAGAGGTGTTGTAGACAAGGAATAAAGTAGACACTAATTTCATTCACATTGAGGGCTGGGGTCTGTTGAGTGCCTAATGTATGCTATTTCATTTAACTTGTAGCACTAGTATTTGCTATTCCTATTTTACAACTGAGAAAACTAATGGTTAGAAAAGATAAGTTACAAATTAATAAGTGAAAGAGCTGGCTCCTAGTGCATAACACCTAGACCTAGTATGTTTTCCTTTGTATACTACTTTATTAAAGCTTTTCTAGTTAAGTTGTTTTGGCAGATGCAAAATTTAATGATTTTTTAAAATTTATTAAATCATAAGCAAGAATCTATTAGAGACTGTTTTTAGAGATTTGAAGAGTATAAATGAAATTTGTTTTAACATTGTGTGATGTGGTTTGATCTGCAATTCATCATAAACATAAACTGGAAGGTAATGGAGGTAGGATTGTATAATATGCACACTATTTGATAGCATTCGGTACTATTACTAGAATTGTACTTGTTGTAAGTCATTTTTAAGTTATTAGAAGTTCATTTGGGAAATTTGAATATTTGTTGTGGATAACATTGATAAAGAGTCTTTCCAGGAATGATAATATTAAACAGAAATGATAGATGGTTCTTAGGAAGAGAGGTTTTATTGTTAGTTTGTTTTCCGTAGAAAATAAATGATTTTCTCAAATAATCTTGGAGGTTAAACTAACTTGATTATTCTTATAGTTCTGCATTCATTTAATGTCTTCCATACATGTGAATATGCTTAGACTACTTGGTGATATGATTTGATATTTTGGGAGGAACTCCATTCTAAGAAATGAAGTCAGCTGACTGAAAATATGTTTTTACTTATATTTGAAATTCAAGGCACTTTAGCATTCATGAAGGAATATATAAAAGTTGGTCACATTGAGAATGGAATCTTTAGTATTCCCAATTAGTATGCCTTTAGTGGCAGCAATATGATTTGTTAATGGTGCAAAATGCAAAATTTAGGCGCTAAAAGACACTGGTGCTGGACACATGGCAAAGAAGAGAATGTGTGCAGAAGAACTAAATGTTGGTTGGATTCAGACACTCAATATGAGTGACTGCTTTAGTTGTCTTTCTAACCTATAACATCCAGCTATTCAAGGCCTTTGAAGATGCTTAATAAAATGTGGTTTATGGAAATGGAGAAAAGGACATAAGATGGTTCATTAAATGTACTCTTTCAAACTGATTTTAATCACTAGTAAATTGTAACTTTTTACTTTATTTATCTTTCTAGAATCTGTCAGGTGAAGGTGTATTTTTGCTTTATAATTTGGCTAGAAGCAGTTTATTTTTAAAGAAAGCATGTCTCCTCTGAAGATACATGGTCCTATCAGAATTCGAAGTATGCAGACTGGGATTACAAAATGGAAAGAAGGATCCTTTGAAATTGTGGAAAAAGAAAATAAAGTCAACCTAATAGTTCACTACAATACTGGAGGAATTCCAAGGATATTTCAGGTATTACCACATTTTGATTGGAAATAGATCTTCTATCACATCTTTTAGTGAATAGCTGTTCTGTGCCATACTAAGTATTATGGTAGCCCTCCTACTAGATTAATTTTTTTTTTTTTATTTCTAGGACACTGGTACTGTTATGTTCATACTTTATAAATTATTCAGCAGCATTATAGATAATGTATAATAAAGAGTGGGAAGTAGTCACCATTATTGAAAAGAAAGCTAGTGGGAGGAGGATGAGAAGAACTGAGTTTGGATACTATCTATTTAAGCTATTTTAAAAACCACATTAAGCCCTGGCCAGTCTTGCTCAGTGGTTAGAGTGTTGGCTGGTGGACTAAAGGGTTGTGGGTTTAGTTTCAGGTTTGATTCCCAGGTCAGTCATATGGGAGGCAACCAATCAAAGCGTCTCTCTTATATTGATGTTTCTCTCTTCTCACCCCCTACTCCCCCACTCTATCTAAAATAATAAATAAATAAATCAATGGAAAAATACCCTTGGGTGAGCATTAACAACAACAACAACAAAACACATTAGTATAACTTACTTATTTTCTTTAACATATATAATAGATTCATTATTTAGTGTTTGCTTTTAATAGGACTTCTTAGAGTTAGCTGCTTTTTTTTTTTTAACATAGAGTGGTAGGGAGGATGGGAGAGAAACATTGATGTAAGAGAGAGACATTGATTGGTTGCCTCCTGCACAACCCTGACCAGGGCTGGTGATTGAACCTGAGACCCTTCAGTCCACAGGTTAACACTCTAACTACTGAGCCAAACCGACCAGGACTCTTTGTGTTATCTTAATGTTTATTTTCTAAAAAATCCTGCCAGAGTTGTGGTATGGACTATTCAAGGTCATCCATCCTTACAGCTATTCTCTTCTAATTACAAACCTTTATTATTATTATTATTTTTATGTTTTTATTGATTTGAGAGAGCGAGGGAGGGAGAGGGAAAGAGAGAATGAAACATCAGTGTAAGAGAGAAACATCTAATCTGCCTCCTACACACCCCCTACTGGGAGGGGATTGAGCCCCCAACCCGGGCATGTGCCCTGACCAGGAATTGAACCAGTGACCCATTGGTGCATGGGATGATGCTCAACCAACTGAGCCACACCAGCCAGAGCTAATTGCACACTTTTTTGTTTATTTCTTTGTTTTATATTAATTTATTTAATTGCACACTTTTAAAGGATCTCATTATTTTATTACTGCAAAAAAAGTTAGTTTTGTTGTCACTTCTATACTGTTTATCTTGTGCAGCCAAGCACTACTCATCTTGTTATGAGTTCAATTTAAGAACATACTGTTTTACTTACATCTTTCTGTACTTGAAAATTCTATATTTGTTAAATTATACAAAAGTATGTTCATTCTAAACCAAAGTACTCTATTGAAGAACAATTTATAAAACTTTATGCTTGAGAACCTGAGCTGAGGTAAAATTTCCATTTTACTTTTTAACTGTGAAAATAAGTTGCTAATGATTTGGTGTATCCAAGTTTTTTTTGTTTGTTTGTTTTGTTTTTTTTCTTTGGTATGGGTCTACCAGTGAGAGCAGAAAGACTTACTAGATAAATACAAAAAAGAGCTATAATCAGTAAAGATAGTCTTAAATAGATTAGAAGAATGACATGGTTACATGGGTAATAAAAACAATAGTAATTTCTGCCATGTATCCCTGTCTACTAAGTGCCCATCTCAATGAAAGATTTTTTTCCAACTAGAGATTTAGTTTTTCAGTCCTCAGCCCAAATTAGCATTGAGTAAATATTTAAATATTTAAGCAAACATAGATCTTTAGGACCATAATGATTCTACTTGTGATTCTACCCTTATCTCATTCTAGATCAGTTTGCATTCAGTATTTGTTGACCACCTACAAATTTCTGTGGTGGGTACTGTAATAAGTGCTTAGAATATAGAACTGAATGAGACACTTTTCCTCTCAAACTCAAAATCAAATGCATTCGCAGCTGCAAAAGTTTCAAGGAGATATGGTATATATATACAATGGAATATTACTCAGCCATTAAAAGGAATAAAATCTTACCATTTGCAACAATGTGCATGGGACCTAGAGGCTATTATGCTAAGTGAAATAAGTTAGAGGAAGACAAATGATTTCACTTATATGTGGAATCTAAAACAGTAAATGAATAAACAAAGCAAAACAAAAACAACTCATAGATACAGAGAACAAACTGATGGTTGCTATATGGGAAGGGCTGAGGAGGCAGGAAAAAAAGGTGAAGAGATTTAAGAAGTACAAACTTTCAGTTATAAAGATAGTCATAGGATGTGAAATACAGCATAGGGAATGTAGTCAATAATATTAACTGTGGATGGTGCCAGATGGTTACTAGACTTATTTTGGTAATCACTTAGTAAGGTATATAAATGTCTAATCACTATGTTGTACATCTGAAACTAATAAAATATTGTATGTCAACTATATTTCAAAGATACTGAGGTAACACAAAGAAGGGAATGGTTTATGCTCTGAGGATTTAGAGAATAAATAAGAATTTGCCAAACATGGTAGAAGGGATGCAGAGGTGATTTCTATACTTAGACAAACATGTGCAAGTGGGAATCAACACTCAGGGAACCAGGAAATTATTTTTAAATGAGTGTACAGTAGGGAGTACATAACAGAAATAGAGGCTGAAGAGCTAGATAGGAATCAGATCTTGAAATATTTTATTTGCCATACTAAGGGTAGCTTAGAGTCTAAGGAGCCAAGAATCTTAAGTTCAGTTTTATTTGAGGGCTAAGCACACGACTTTACTTCAAGAAATAGTAGGAGAATAAGGACATGTAGGAGGTTATTGTGGGAGTTTAAAATAGGAATGAAGTTCAGAACAAAGGAAAAGATAGTGGGAGAAGCAAGGGAAGGAAAGGGTAGATATGAAGTGTTTTCAAGAAGACTTAATTCATTATATTTGGGGGAGTGAAAGAGAAAAGAGTCTGGGGGAAAGTCCCAAGTTTTTGAGTGGATGGCAGTTTCTTTTATGTCCTCAGTGATAGGGAATAGAAGAGAAGATTGGGGTGTGGGGACAGGAAGAGATGAGTTGTTTGAGATATCAGGAATTCAGATATTGGTGTCCAGTGTGCATTAAGTAAACAACTGGAACTCCAGCAGAGTGATCTACACTTAGAGAAAGAATTGGGAGGCCTCACTACATGGGTAGTTAATAAAATTGTAGGGCTAGATATTTTTTTAGTTTTTTTCAGTTATTGAAGTGTTCATGTTCAAGATTATTCTCACTTTGTTAATGAACAAATATTTTTTCTTATGTTTAACTTTCATTTTTATTTTATTGATTGATTGATTTTACAGAGAGAGAGAGAAAGGGGAAGAGAGAGAGAAACATCGATTTGTTCCAGTTATTTATGCATTCTTTGATTGTCTCTTGTATGTTCCCTGATTGAGGATCAAACCTACAACCTTGGTGTATCTGGACGACACCCTAACCAACTGAGCTACTCAGCCAGGGCTGAACTTTCATTTTTAAAAAGTGGTATATTGACTGAAATAATGGTTTTATGTGGTCTATTTTCCTTTTGATACTAAACTGTTCGTTTATTTATTTTGGAGTTAAAGCATCTGAAGCTAGTTATTGTGTTTTGTGATGAAATTTCTACTCAAGGACATGAATTTCAAACCTATATATAACTTAAAATCTAAATATAAATTAAATCTGACTGGTAAGATTGTTTTTTCGTTTTTATCTAAAAAGTGACAAAAGTCAATTTTTCTTAATTAAAATAAATTGTGAAATGCTGTTAATTCCTTTTTTATGCTGTTCAGAGAGTATGTCTTCATCAAAAGGCAGCTTTAGAAACCTTTGTATATGCCTGCTGAGGGAGAACATTAAAGAATAAGAATGCCTGATTGTCGAATTATTTAGATAATAAAGAAACTGCAGCCCTGGCCAGTTTGGCTCAGTGCTTAGAGCGTCGACCTGCGGTCTGGAGAGACCCGGGTTTGGTTCCCGCTAAGGGCACGTACTCCGGTTGCAGTTTGTCCCCGGCCCTGGTTGGTTGTGCGGGTGGCAGCCGCTCGATGTGTCCCTTCACGTCGATGTTTCTCTCTCTCTCTCCCTTCCTCTCTCTCATCCCACTCTATCTGTACAAAAAATAGAAAAATATCCTCGGGTGAGGATAAAAACAAAAACAAAAACAAAAAAAAAGAAAGAAACTGCAAAATTTATTAATTTAGTTTTGGAAAATTATCAGCCAAGAGAATAGAAAAGTTGTCACTTCATAGCACATATCCAGCGTCTGGAAGAGATAAGAGAAGTTATTGAACCAGTTCTGGGGATTAGAAGAAGTAAGCTAAGATAGTTCCAGGGTGTTTATGTTCTTTGTGACAGAATAAAAGTTAAATGAGTCTGCTTAGACAGTTAAAAAAGAAAAAAAGCAGCCCTGACCAATTTGGCTTAGCTGTTAGAGCTTCAGCCCTTGGACCTGAGGGTCTTGGTTTCAATTCCTGGGTTCAAGGACATGTACCTGGGTTGCAGGTTTGATCACTGACCCTAGTCCAGGTTGTGCAGGAAGCAACCTATAGATGTGTCTCTTTAACATCAGTGTTTCTTTCTCTTTCTCTCTCTCCCTTCCTTTCCACTCTGTCTAAAAATCAATGGAAAACTATCCTTGGATGAGGATTAACAACAATAATACGGTCTTATACTGGTGAAGTTTCATTTCACTGTGTTTGAGAGGTGGAATTCTTTTTGAAGATTATAGTTTGGACTAATATTTTCTTTTTACATTACAGCTACCTAAACCATTTGTCAGATAGCTTACAGGCTTTGTTTAAAAGAAAAAAAAAAACTCTCTAATCCACCATGGCTTTCTAAACTGATGATGGTAAAACCATCCAGACTCTGAAAATTAACTCTCTAGTTTTTATAACTTTGTAACTATACCTGAAAATATGTAATTCCCTACCATAGAACAAGACTGCTAGGATTACAATGTAAAATAAATTTTAATATTTTAATACTATGGCCTGGCCAGTATGGCTCAGTGGTTGAGCATTGACTACCTATGCACCAAGAGGTTGCCGGTTCGATTCCCAGTCAAGGCATATGCCCAGGTTATGGGCCTAATCCCCAGTGTGGGACATGCAGGAGGCCAGTCGATGTTCTCTCATTGATGTTTCTCTCTCCCTCTCTCTCTCACTTCTGCTATTTCTCTCTAATATCAATAAAGAAAAAAGAAATTTAAAAAAAATTTTTTTAATACTATGTATTTGCCTCTCCTAAAAGTGAAATCTTTGATTTAAATGTATCAAGAAATGGGAACTATGTTTGGTTAGGGGGGAAAACTAAATGTGGGTAAGAGTAATATATGTAACTTAGAAAGTATGAAGTTTAGTATTCATTATACAACTTTTTTTGTACTTCTTTATAATAATGTTTTTAATGATACGATCATTAAGATGTTTTTAATTTTAATGATAAGATCATTTTTCTTTTATGTTCATCAGCTAAGTCATAACATTAAAAATGTGGTGCTTCGACCCAGTGGAGCAAAACAAAGCCGCCTAATGTTAACGCTACAAGATAACAGCTTCTTGTCTATTGACAAAGTACCAAGTAAGGATGCAGAGGAAATGAGGTTGTTTCTAGATGCAGTCCATCAAAACAGACTTAATGCAGGTAAGCATTAATTGTCCCAAGGTCTGACATTAGCAGTTATAAAAGAATATTACTAGACTGTAGGCCAGTGTACCTGGTGAATATTTATGCAGAAATCCTCAACAAAATATTAGCAGACCAAATTCAACAGCATATTAAAAGGATTACACAACTATGACCAACTGGGACTTATTTCTATGATGCAAGGTTGGTTTAAGATATGAGGAAAAAACCAATCAATGTAATACACCAAATTAACAGAATGGAAGACAAAACCCACATGATCATCTCAATGCGGAAAAAGCATTTGATAAAATTCAATGCCCTTTCATGATAAAAAAAAAACAAAAACAGTAAACTAGGATTAGAAGGAAACTACCTCAGCATAATAAAGGCCATATGTAAAAGCCCACAACTAACATCTCAGTGATGAAAAAACTAAAATTTTCTTCTAGGATCAGGAATAAGCCAAGGATGCCCTCACTGCTTCAATTCAGCATGGTGTTGGAATTCCTAGCTAGAACATCCTTTATTTTATCCCAGCAGCCTTATTCTGAGTTTATCCAATAAATATTATACCATTAATGCAAGAGATATGAAAGAAATGTTATCAATTTTAAAAAATTAAGACTTTCCAAGTGATTATCAGTGGGAATTGACTAAAGTTTAAAATATTTTTTAAAGTATATACAAATTTATATGTATACAATATCTTACATATTCTTTAAACTAGCATTAATTTCTTTAGAATGGCAGCCATTCTGCTTGCTAAATTTTCAGAGAATGTTTTAGAGTATGCATTGTTAGAAATACATGTGTCACTGGTTCTGACATGTTTTCTTGGCATCCAATGTCAGTGTTCATGACATAGACACATAGTGACTAACTTTTCTGTATTGTTAATTACCAAATATTGATATAGGAGAATTTCTAGCATTTTCATTTTGCATTAAAAATTCTTTCCTGTTACATGTTTTCAAATTTTTGCATGTTATTTCATTATTTTACTTGAGACTCTAGCTCTAAATTTTAATTACTATTTATATCAGATGTACTTTCTATTAAGAAAGAATTGGTTAATAAGCACTGTAATTTATTTCTTCTATTTCTGTAATATTATACAATAATAATGACAAATCTCTTAATTTCAATAAGTGATTTGGGTTTTGTTTTTTTTATACTAGCCATGAAACCTTCTCAGGGGTCTGGTAGTTTTGGATCTATTCTGGGCAGCAGGACCTCACAGAAGGAAACCAACAGGCAGCTTTCTTATTCAGACAATCAGGTATATTTATTTGAATATTTTAGCTTTTTTAAAAGATGATAATCACGCCCTGGCCGGTTTGGCTCAGCGGTTAGAGCGTCCGCCTGCGGTCCAGAGAGACCCGGGTTCGGTTCCCGCTAAGGGCATGTACCTCGGTTGCAGTTTGTCCCCGGCCCTGGTTGGTCGTGCGGGTGGCAGCCACTCGATGTGTCCCTTTCACATCGATATTTCCCTCTCTCTCTCTTCCTCTCTCTCCCTCCCACTCTATCTGTACAAAAAATGGAAAAAGGTCCTCGGGTGAGGATAAAAAAAAAGAAAGAAAAAAGATGATAATCATGGACATTCTATCAAGTAATTACAGGAAGTAGAATTTAAACTGGAATGCCTAATAATTCTGGCTTTGTCACGGTATTTTCCCCATACCTGAAATTTGCCATTTTAGCTATTTCAATCTCTCCAACTATTTTTATGAAAGTCTCTATAAAATTTATCATATTCTTCCCTTCTTACATACATTTTTACTGAACACAATTTAACCTTTGCTCGTTGTGTCATGTCTTATGAACTGCAGTGAAATATAGTTTTTAGACGCATAGCTTTGGAGTTAGATATGGGTCTGGGCTTTGGTGCTGACACTAGCTGTGGATCATTGGAGAAGTTCCTTAAGTATCCTGAACCTTAGTACCCATCTGTACAATTAAGACAGCAATAATATATTAAGGGTTGCTGTGAGATAATGCATGTAAAAGTTCTTAGTCCACAATACCGTATGTTAACAACACGATCAAGTTTGCTGCTACTATTTCTGTGATGCCCTATGTGTCTGTTCTACATTATAAACTTTTTCCCTACAATATGTGACACCAGACTCTTTTGTTAAAATCTTCTGTTTGCTTGTTACATATTTTTTTCATGAATATTATTCAGCCAGCCCTGAGAAAGCTGTGCACTATTGCAATTGAGCAGTCCTGTGTCTCTTCATTTGTTTTACAAAAAGAAACTGGGCGTAAAGAGAAACAATGAAACTAATGAATTTTATTTGGCTGTGCGGAAAGGTGATTGATTACTTAGTACATTTACTGGGATAAGCAATGAATGAGATTTTATTTTTGTTAATTTTTTTTTTATATATAGGATGGGTTATTTTTGGTTTTTTTACATTTTAATTGAGGTATGATTGACATTCAGTAAATTGCACATAATTTAAGTGTTCATTTTGAAATGTTTTGACATAATATATACATACCCATAAAATCATCACCATAATTAACCTAGCGAACATAGCCATAACCTTTATTTTTATTTATTTATTTATTTATTTATTTTTATCCTTGCCCCAAGGACATTTTTTGATATTTTGTTCAGATAGAGTGGGAGGGAGGGAGAGAGAGAGAGAAACATCGACGTGAAAGGGACACATCAAGTGGTCCCTTTGCCACTCATCTGATCCAACCAGGGCCGGGAACAAACTGCAACCGAGGTACATGCCCTGAGCGGGAACTGAACCTGGGTCTCTCCAGACTGCAGGCCGACACTCTAACCACTGAGCAAAACCGGCCAGGGCCATAGCCATAACCTTTAAAAGTTTCCTTTTCCCTTTTTTACGTCCTTCCCTCCCTCTCCAGCTCCTATTCCTAAGCCACAGCTGATTTGCTTTCTGTCACATAAATTAATTTGCATATTCTAGAGTTTATATGCATGGGATCAATATGGAATTTTGGGGGGGGGTCTGGCTTTTTCACTCAGCATAATTTGACATTCACCCATTTATAGGTAGAAATTTAAACTGTTGGAATATTTAAATCTGTAAGTATTATGTATAGTAGAAATAAATATTTATACTTTACAAGTAATGATTCCCATTACTGTGATTATAAAATTAATCTGTGGGTTGTTACTAGCATTAAATAAAAAGGAAAGAATAGAATAGAAAATAATAGAGAAAGTTCTGTACGTAGTAAGAGTAAGTGTTGGTTTCTGAAACTTTTGTTTCAGTTCTACTCACATGTACATGAAATAAGTTGCGATGCAAAATGTCTTACTATGGGGTCAAATAGGTTGAAAATATGCAGAATAGTTAGCATATAGTATGCTACCATTTTTATAACAAAGAATAAAATAATGATTTGCCTTTGCATAAAGGAACAATAATACTTACAAGGAGTAGGAGAATGAGAAGTGGAAGACTGGATGGATGTGTTGGTGCGATAATCATGAGACTTTTTTTTATGGTTTTTATAATAGTCTTATTTTTAAGTTGCCAGTTTCTTGCTCGAAACTGCTGCTTTTTTGTTGTTGTTAATCTTCACCCAAGGATGTTTTTTCCATTGATTTTTAGGGAGAGTGGAAAGGAGGAAGGAGGAGAGAGAGAGAGAGAAACATCCTGGAGATCAAACCTGCCAACACTGTAACTGCTGAACCAAACCAGCTAGGACGGCCCTGTATTTTTTTAATTGCCTTTTTCTCTCTGAATGTTCTTGCTGTGTCTCTAGGGTAGGAGCTTCTGCCAGTGATGTCTGTCTCATTCTCATTTCCCCATCATTACATATATTTGTTTCATTTCTCCAAACTGAAACCCCTTCAAAAGTCATATGAGGTATACATGTGATTTGGCATTTAAGTTGTGGCAACCAAATGTCATTATTGCTCCTTTTTGTCATATCTGTGTCACTTTAAGACAGTGATACTGGGAAAAATAGAAGGCAGCTGGAAAAGAGAAAGACGAAAAATAGATGGATTGACACTGTGAAAGAAGCCATAAGCATATGTCTACAGAAGCTGAGCAGGGCAGTTGAGGACAGAACATTGTGGACATTACTTATTCATAGGGTTATCAGGAATTGGGAGACTATTCATCGGCACATAACACACACATTATTTTAATTTATCATAATTACTTGGATTTTTTTCTCTAAAGCTTTATTTTCATATTTTCATCCTGGTCACTAGAACCATGTCTTTGTGAATCCTTTTTTTTAAATCACTTATTTATAGCAGATTCCCTTCCTCTAGGTATGCTTTGGAATTTTTAAGTTTACAAGAGTACTACAGGGAAAAAAGTGTTGTTCAGTTTATGACACTGACCATGCATAGACTCACCAAAAGTGCTTTAAAAAATACGACGGCCCTGGCCAGTTTGGCTCAGGGGTTAGAGCATTAGCCTGCGGACCAGAGTGTCCCAGGTTCGGTTCCCGCTAAGGGCACATACCTAGGTTGTGGTTTGTCCTCGGCCCCGGTTGGGGTCATGCGGGTGGCAACCAGTCGTCTCTCAATGTGATGTTTCTCCCTCTCTCTCTCTCCCTCTCTCTTTCTCTCTCCCTCCTGCTCTATCTGAAAATAAATGCAAAAATATCCTTGGATGAGGATTAAAAAAAAAAATAGTGACGAATGGGCCTCATCCCAGACCAATTAGGTTAGGGTTTCTGGAGATGGGTCTTTTAGTTGTGGGTATTTTTTTAAAGTTCCCCACTGAGAATCACTGATCTAAAGGTATGCAATTAAATTGAAGATTTACTATCTCAAACTTTATTCTTATAGGCCTCTTCAAAAAGAGGAAGTTTGGAAACTAAAGATGATACTCCATTTCGAAAAGTTCTTGGCACTCCAGGTAGAGGATCGATTAAGACTGCAGCAGGAAATGGAATAACTGTCACCCGGACGATTCCTTCCTTGACATCTACTTCAACACCTCTTAGATCAGGATTACTAGAAAATAGGTATGAAAGATGGTTTTTCTTTCTTAGTCATTAGTTCTGCTTGTTTATAAATGTCTTTTAGGTATTTCAGAAACCCCAACAAATTTGAGAAAAAAGGATATTGTTCAGTGAGTCAGTTGTGTTAGAATAAAAAAGTATAGAGTGCATTTTTGGTAAATAATTAGTATTTGTCTTATGTGATTTATGCCAATGACATGTGTTGAGTGTGCAGATATACAGTATATTAATTTAAATGTGGTGTGGAGAATTAGATAGCAGTTCTCTGTTCTTGAGTGTGTTGGTTCATACTTTTTAATGGTATGAATTACAACTTTGTATTTATTTACTTATTTATAATATATTTTATTAATTTTTTAGAGAGAGATCAAAGGAGAGAGAGAGAGAAACATCGATTGGCCACCTCCTGCACGCCCCCCACTGCGGACCGAGCCTGCAACCCAGGCATGTGCCCTGATGGGGACTCGAACTGGGACTTCTCAGTCCATGGGACAGCACCCAATCCACTGAGCCACACCAGCGAGGCTGAATTATGACTTCTAAAAAATAAGGTTTTTTCTCTGTTCTCTGTAGAACTGAGAAGAGAAAAAGAATGCTGTCTGGCTCAGAGTTGAATGAAGATTACCCTAAGGAAAATGATTCATCATCGTAAGTTGTTTTAAGAACGTTTAAGGCCTTCGATCAGTGTTTGTTATATTGGTAATTATAACAACTAGGGAAGATTGTTCAATTTATGGGAATTCCAAAGATAGAAGAGCAGAATTTAAAGTATTTTGGTGATAGTAGATTGTAGGCTCAATAGAGAGAGGATTTTCCATTGTAGCTTTTTTATTCTTTTTCTTTTTTTTTCCTTTTAATCTGCAGTACTTTAGAGGAAGAACAGAGCTAACGAACTCTAAATAAGTGTTTCTTGCTGTTGACTCTTTTAGTGTGAACCCCTTCTTTCCCTCTTCCTTTTTTACCTATAAAATTTTTTTTTTTACCTGATTTTATGTGAAAAGCTAGCTTAGAAGTAAGAGGATATAAACCTTACATAGGTTCTAGGCACGGAGCATCAATCTTTCAGTGATATTTTCTGAGTTGAACAAAAATGTGTATACCTGCAGCAGGACAGTCACCAGCTCACATCCTCTTCTTTCTCATGAGAGGGTCTTTTTTTTTTTTTGTCTTCTAGGGGAGAAAACTTAAACAGTTTCAGTTAACACCTTAACTAAAATCTGTTGATAGTTAACTGGTATTTGAGATTAAAAGGTCACCATAAAGGAACTGGGAAAAAGCTGAAGAAACTTTATATATTAATTGGGATCTTGGTTCTGCTGTTATAATAGATGTAAAAATCTGAGTAGGTTATAGGACTGGTGTGGTCTGAAACTACAATCACCATGGACTCAGACTCCTTTTATCTTGTTGGTCCACCATCCTTAATAAACTTCCATTTTGTGAACCAAGGTAGCTGCTTCAGTCTTCACTCTCCTATTTGCATTCCTGTTGGTGGGAAGGAAGAAAGGAGCAAAGGGAGGGCATACTGCTTTTTTTTAGGCTGAAAATTGTACACACCACTTTTATGTATATCACATTGACCAGGCTTAGTCATATGGTTATATCAAGTCGTACGAAAGACCAGTAAATATGCCTAACCCAAATTTTATAATGGTGGAAGTGTACAATGGTTATTTGATAACTAACAGGCTGCTGTAGTTTACCCCTCTAGCCACAGAAATACTCTTGTTCATTATTTTCCCATACATAGAACACTATTATCCTCATCCTAATGGAGACAGCCTCCAGGTCTCATTTAATCCTAGTATCCACTTCCAAGTCCAGGATCACTGTGTGATATGCAGTCCTCTTCATAAGATCCAGGTGTGCTTTTTTGGACCATGTGCCTCATGGTCTGGTACCCAAAACCTAAAAGGCAAGCCCAGCCGGTGTGGCTCAGTGGATTAAGTATTATCCCATGGACTGAGAGGTCCCTGTCCGATTCCCAGTCAGGGCACATATCCAGATTGCAGGTTTGATCCCTAGTAAGGGGTGTGCAGGAGGCAACTGATAGATGTTTCTCTCTCACATAAATGTTTCTGTCTCTCTTCCCTCTCTCTGTAAAAAAAATCAATAAAAATATATTTTAAAGAAAGGCAATTTAATCTGCATTCCCCACTCCCATTTCTATACATATCATTATACAAGCATGTCTCAGAGATATTGTGGGTTTGATTCCAGACCACTGCCATAAAGGAAATATTGCAATAAAATTACACAAGTTTTTGGTTTCTCAGTGTATATGTTTACACTACAATCTAGTAAGTGTACAATAGCATTATGTCTTAAAAAAAACCTCAACAACGTGTTATACCTTAATTAAAAAGACTTTATTGCTAAAAAATGCTAACATCTAAGCTTTCATTAGATCATAATCTTTTTGTTGGCAGAGAGTCTTGCCTTCAATTTGTAAAAAAAAAAAAAAGTTTCTCTGAAGCATAAGAAAATGAGGTATGCCTATACTTTGCTGGAGTAGGCACAGGATATTCACAATAAAAATTTACGTGTAGAAAAGACAAGAAAAGGAAACTGGCGGAGTCACTGGTCTATAGCAGCAATAAAATCCTGCTATGCAGAAATTGTGGAGGCAGGGGAGTAAATTCTTTTTTTGTTTGACATAATTTCTGAGTTTTTTTTTTAACTTTTAAAATTTATCTTTATTGTTGAAAGTATTACAGATGTCCTTTTTTCAGGGGAGTAAATTCTTGATTAGTCCATGTAGCAGTCTCTGTTCTCTTCTCTGGGAAAAACCCTTGTTCATTGTATTCCATATGACTCCTAGCTTTGTCCTCTGGTAGATTTCCTTTGTTATCTTTCAAGGCTATAGCTGGAGGTTTTGGAAACTCTGTTCTTCTTTGGAACCATGCACCTTTTGTAGCCTATTTCATGCTGGTGCTGTTCTGGAAAATGTGTCTATAGAAATCCAGAAGTTTCTTTAAAGGTAGAACAAGCAGGCTTTTATAGAGTCCAGGAAGAATTTGAACCAATATTTTGGAGGGTTTGTTTGTTTTAATAAAACTTAAATTTTGGAATAATTTCAAATTTAAAGAAAAGTTACAGAATTGAAATAGAATGTTCCTGTGTATGCTCACCCAGTTTCCCCTAATATTAACATCAAAGTTTTTTCGTCAAACTACTTTTCCATTCACTTCTTATCATTTGCTTCACTTTGAGAATCAGAAGCAATCAGATTTTTTGTTTTGTTTTTGGTTCCATATGGTCTCAAATTACCAGACAGTTTCAGTTCTAGGTCATTGGCACAGAGAGATTGTACAGTTTTCCCTTTTTTTAAAAAAATTTTTTTCTGTTAGAGAGGAGGGGACAGGGAAAGAAAGAAACATCAGTGAGAGAGAACATTAATTGGGTGCCTCCTGCATACCCCCCCACTGGGGATTTGGCCCAGAACCTGAGCATGTGCCCTGACCAGTAATCAAACCAGGACCTCTCAGACCTCCAGATGACTTTTAATCCACTGAGCCACAGCAGCTTAGCTAAATATTTTACTTCTTAATTGATTGGGTGGGTAGGCGGGGGTCTTTTACTATATATTTTTTAAATATGTTTTTATTGATTTTTTTTCAAGAGAGGAAGGGAGAATGAGATAGAAACATCGATGTGAGGAACATCAATTGGCTGCCTCCTGCATGCCCCCTAATGGGGATTGAGCCTAAAACCTGGGCATGTGCCTTGACCGAGAATCAAACTGGGACCTCTCAGTCCATGCGATGATGCTCAGTCCAGTGAGCCACATCAACCAGGCTGTTTTGGTCTATTTGTAGCTAAATCATTTCATTTGCTCTTGCTTTTGACTAAGAAAATCTATATAATCTTGCTGTCTCTGGTTTGACTTTTGTAAAAATAAAATGCTCCATTTTTACTTAATTACTAGGGTTATGGGTTGGATTGGCTTTGACTTGGTAATGAAAGCTTATTTTCATGATTCTCATTTGCTTAAGCCTCTGACTTGTCAAGGTTTTAACACTTTGGAGCCTAACTTGCAAGCAAATCCACAAATTCAGCACTTGAAATGTAAATTTTTAATGACAACTATTTAAAATTAAGAACTATATCTTTACACACCTATATATTGAATTAAATTATCCACTGTAGGAACAACAAGCCTATGACAGACCCCTCAAGAAAGTATTTAACCAGCAGTAGAGAGAAGCAGCTAAGTTTGAAACAGTCAGAAGAGAATAGGACATCAGGTAAGTATTTAGTCTTTATGTAAGATACTATTTTATTATATGATGTATAGACCAGAAATAAAACCCTAAACTGGGACATACTTCTCTGTTATTCAGGAGTATTCCATGATTCCATTGTAGATACTGGGCACCAATCTGTATCCAGTACTTTGCTAAAATACTTCTAAGTATTAGTATTATAGGGAAACTTTTATTCTTTTTACAAAGAATCTAGACTTTACCTTCTTCCCTGTTTAACTGCCTCGAATTAAGCTCTTTCATTATCAAAGTACCTGAAACATAAAAAGAATTCAAGGCAATAAAGTGGTTGAAATTAAAGTTCATCAGTGTTGCCACTTATTAGAAGATTTAGAACAGTGCTTCTCAACCATCCTAATGCTGCAACCCTTGAATACAGTTTTTCATGTTGTGGTGACCCCCAATCATAAAATTATTTTCGTTGCTATCTCATAACTCTAATTTTGCTACTGTTATGAATCACCTTCGGAAATACGTGTTTTCCGATGGTCTTAGGCGACCCCTGTGAAATGGATGTTCGACCCCCAAAGGGGTCGCAACCCACAGGTTAAGAATCGCAGTTTTAGGAGATCTTGAAGTTATTGCCTAAAGCAGTTGCTTAATTTCATCTTGTGCTTTGTTTTTACAAAATCTAAAAGATTGTCCATGAATTTTTGTCAGTATTTTCTACACTTAACCAATCTCTCTGATCCTCTAAACTACTTAAGAGACTCAGCTGTTGGTAATGACTTTAATATTATGTCAACTTGAAATTAAATTGAAGCAAACTAAAATATGGTATGATTTTGATAAATTGAGAGTTTCAAGGAATTCATTTCATCAAGGCTCTAGGAATAATCTGCTCTTAGTTGTTCAGAGTTGTGACATTGGACTCCTACAGAAAGAAATATCTGTAATATAATTCTTACCTCTGAAACAATACATTACGTAAACTCCGCTTCTTGATTTTCAGCTTTTATAGTCAAACTATAGTTGGAAAACAGAATACTTAAAGATGTAATAAGCCTTAATGATGTTGAAAGTAAGGTCCCAAAATATGATATGGATGTGGAGAAAAGAAGTTTAAGTGATAAGAGAGTTCATGGAACAAAATGTAGATGTTTTAAGTATGTTAAAGTTACAAGGTTAATCAGTAGAACTAAAGTAACACAACTAATAATTGGTTAGAAGGAAGTAAACGAGTAGGGGTGCTGTGAGAAATCTCTAATTTTTCCAAATAGGGAGTCAACAAATGCTGTTCAAAATGAATAAATGAAACAACAGCTTTTGGAGCTTTGGGGCAGGAGAGTGTTCTTGGCTCTTATGACCTTTTCCACAGTATTTGATCTTTTAACATAATAGAACTTTGATGAAAAGAGAGAAAAGAGTTAACTATAAATAGGCCCAATGCATAATTTTATTATTAATTGGACTTCAGTGGCTGATTTAGGAATTAAGTTGTTCCGGTGCTTGCTTGTTTTATAGGGCTTTTACCTTTGCAGTCATCATCCTTTTATGGTAGCAGATCTGGATCCAAGGACTACTCTTCTGGCAGCACTAATATAGACAGGTATGCATTGGTTATATGCCCTGTGAAGAACTTGAAGAGCTCTCTTCTTCAGAATATTGAATGATGGGATGTGTAATACTCTTTCTTCTCAAGATGTTTATAATTGATTTTTTTTTTTTTTTTTAATCCTCACCCGAGGACATTTTTCCATTTTTTGTTCAGGTAGAGTGGGAGGGAGAGAGAGGACCAGAGAGAGAGGGAGAGAAACATCGATGTGAAAGGAACACATCGAGAGGCTGCCACCCGCACGACTGACCAGAGCCGGGGACAAACTGCAACCGAGGTACATGCCCTTAGCGGGAACCGAACCCCGGTCTCTGAGGACCGCAGGCCAATGCTCTAACCGCTGAGCCAAACCGGCCAGGGCTATAATTGATTTTTTAAGAGAGAGAGAGAAACCTTGATGTGAGAGTGAAATATCGATTGGCTTCCTCCTGCATGCACTCCACCAGGGATTGAGCACTCAACCCGGGCATCTGCCCTGACCAAGCATTGAACTGGCAGTCTTTTGGTGCCCAGGGAGACACCCAACCAACTGAGGCACATCGGCCAGGGTCTTCCACATCAACTTTTATAAGATGTACCTTAACTTCATCATTAGTAAGGCTTTATGACACTATAAGTATACTTTTTTTGTTTGTCTGTTTGTTTAAAGAGAGATAGAGGAAAACACCAATGTGAGAGACATATTGATTGGTTGCCTCCTGCACGACTTCGACCAGGTCAGGAACTGAACCTCAACCAAGGTACTTGCCCTTGACCAGAATTGACCCCACAACTTCTTGGTCCATGGGCCAACGCTCTAAACGGTGAAACAAACTGGCCAGGGCTTTAAGTATATTCTTAAGTAAACACCCTAATTTAAAATAACAAAATTAATGAGAATCACAGACTCACGACGTTTTATTTAGAAAGTACTCTACAAATGTTTTAGTTCAAGCTCTTTTTTTTAACGTTTTTCAAGAAATGAATAAACAGTTCTAGGAGATTTGTACTGAGGCCACTGTTTGTATACTGGCAATATGATCAGATTCTAGACCAAGTGTATCCTCTCTCTATTATCCCAACTGATGAAAATATTAAGATCTCAACAAATTGCCTTTGTTTAACAGAAGTTAAGGCATGCTCTTTAAACAAAACACACACACACATAAGTTTCACATTAGTGAAAAAGGCTAGTCAAAAATTTAATTGCTTAGTCTATAGATAGAGGTTAAATCTTTTGAGATTTATTGGATATAAATATATAAGACAGCTACTTAGCACTTACCAAGAAGGTATGATTACAGAAAGCAGCACAGAGGAGGGAGCAATGGTAAATGTAAAAAGTGAGGGTAAAGGTGGTATGTAATTAATGACCTATTGAGCCATATTTTTGTTTTTACTGAAATGTAATGCAGAGTGGTAAAAACATCCTAATTATGTGTATAAAATGATTAAGGTAAAGTACAGAATTTGATCATGTATATTTAGGTATATAAGACCTTGCGTGGTGTCTGTCAAGCACTTTATGGTGGCAGTGGTAACTAAGTTATTTGAATTTAAGAGAGAGGAAGCTTGGCTTATTTCTATTTATTAGAAGGATCTTAAAGGAATCTTCAGTTTTTTAAAAAAAAATACCTAAATTTGTTTTACAAATTATTTATTTATTTATTTATTTATTTATTCATTTTTAATCCTCACCCAAGGATATTTTTTCCATTTATCAGATAGAGTGAGAGGGAAGGCTTGGTGGGGGAGAGAAAGAAACAAACAAACATCAACGTGAGAGAGACACCAATTGGTTGCCTCCAGCGCGACCCCCTACCAGAGCTGGGGACCGAACCACAACCAAGGCACTGGAATTGAACTCAAGACTCTGGTCTGCAGCCCAATGCTCCAACCGCTGAGCTAAACCAGCCAGGGCTACAAATTACTTATTAATACAATACAAATTTCTCCTCAAAATAATAGAATCAGCCCTGGCCGGTTTGGCTCAGAGGTTAGAGCATTGGCCTGCAGTCTGGAGAGACCCAGGTTCGGTTCCCGCTAGGGACCTGTACCTCGGTTGCAGTTTGTCCCCGGCACTGGTTGGTTGTGCGGGTGGCAGCCACTCAATGTGTCCCTTTCACATCGATGTTTCTCTCTCTCTCTCTCTCTCTCTCTCTCTCTCTCTCCCTCCCACTCTGTCTGAACAAAAAATGGAAAAATGTTCTCAGGTGAGGATTAAAAAAAAAAAAAAATCTGTTCTTTTGTATAACTAATGAATGCATATGGTACAAACTTCAAAAGTTACAATGGAAAGTAAATCTCCCTTTGTTTCCTAACTCCTACTTGTGCATTTCTTCTTTCCAGAGGCAACTACTTTAATATTCATAAAATATTAGATAGTAAGAAGAAATACGGGAGGATTGGGGAATACAGGGAAATTTAAATGTTTTACGTTTCTTTCCTTGTTTGAGAGGAGACCACAGAGACATATTGAAAGGTTAAAAATGAATTCCTCTTCTGTCCAATATGGAGTAACAGGTACCAGATTGTCTTCCTTCATGAAACAACTAAGAACCTGAACAAATCATATGAAAAGATGGGTCTTAAGACACTGGAAATGAGACAGTGAAGGACATTGATCCTTGGGAGAGAGGAAACAAATGAAATTAGCCGTATGACTGCCCCAGCTTTCTAGAGAAAGTTCTCAGGCTGCCACACACAGAGGGGATCAGACAGGGCCCTATACTCTTCCTGAGTTCAGGGAATGGAGCTAAGAATCCAGGGAAGCCAAAGCAGCTAGAATTCACAGGGTACCAGAGGGCAAAGCTGCACAGAGAAAGAATTGCGGAGATCTGCAGAGGGTCCACCTTGAGTATTCACTTGGTTGCCGATCATCTTATGCAGGTGAGAAAACTAGCCAAGGACAGGGAAAGAACCACTCAAAAGGGTCTACTAAGGGAATAATACTAGGGAGTTCACATAAAGCCAGGCACAGTTCCTGTTCCAAATATCAGTTTGAATGCTCCGAAATGTCTTTCCTTATTAGTGTGGAAAACTATCCCTACACTAATTGCTGCTCTGGTTCTACATAACAAACCTTAAAAAGCAAGACCCAAAAAGATCAAACTGTTTCCAGATAACCTAACCACATCCCAGAACAAAATTCAAGAATGTTTATAGACGTCTGGCATATTCAGCACCTTCCTGGCCAGTATAGCTCAGTGGTTGAGCATCGACCCATGCAACAACAGGTCGCCAGTTAGATTCCCAGTCAAGGCACATGCCCAGGTTATGTGCCAAATCCCCAGTGGAGGAGCATGCAGGAGGCAGCCAGTCGATGTTCTCACTCATTGTTGTTTCTATTTCTCTCTCCCTCTCCCTTCCTCTCGCTCTAAAACCAATAAAGGGAAAAAATGTTTAAATATCCAATACCCAACAAGATAAAATTCACAATGTCTACCATCCAAGAAAACATTACTAGACATACTAATCAGCAGGAAAACAATTCATAAGGAGGAGAAAAATAATAAATACTCAAATTACAGATGATAGTATTAGTGAACAGTGATATTAAAAGTTATTAACCCAAATCAGTAATGATATTATATATAAATATATTAAATGTTTCAATTAAAGAGAAAAATAGCCTGGCCGTTGTGGCTAACTGGTTGAGCATCAAGAGGTTGCCAGTTCGATTCGTGGTCAGGGCACAAACCCAGGTTGTGGGCCCAATTCCCAGTGGGGGGCCTGCAGAAGGCAGGCAGTTGATATTCTCTCTCATCGATGTTTCTCCCTCTCCCTCTCTAAAATTAATAAAGAAAAAACATTCTTAAAAAAAGAGAAATAAACTGGATAGATGCAGAAAGGTTGAGAGCAAAAGGATGGAAACAAATATACCTTGTGTTGTCCAAACTACAATATTTAGGGTGCATTGAAAGGGATGAAACTGGGAAAGCTAATGATAACTTTCAGGGTAGAGGAACAGATTGTGTTTGGGAAGAAGCATTTCAGCTTTATAAAAAGTGTTAAGCTTCGCATTTCACTTTTTAAAAAAATACATAAACCTTATTTTTTAGAGCGGTTTTAGGTTCACAGCAAAATTGAGCAGAAAGTGCTGCGTTCTTATAAACCCCCTGACTCCACGTACGTGCAACTTCTCTCATTATTGATATCCTGCATCACAGTGGTACACAGTTGACTTTTATACACTTTTTTGTTTAAGTATTCTATTTCACAATTTTTTTAAAACAACAAAACCAAATGGTGGCTAACAGATAGCCTAGCCAGACAGTCACTTGGAGACGATTGGGTATTCCTTATAAAAAAGCAAATCAGCCCTGGCCGGTTTGGTTCAGCGGTTAGAGCGTCAGCCTGCGGTCCTGAGAGACCCGGGTTCGGTTCCCGCTAAGGGCGTGTACCTTGGTTGCAGTTTGTCCCCGGCCCTGGTCGGTTGTGCGGGTGGCAGCCACTCGATGTGTTCCTTTCACATCGATGTTTCTCTCTCTCTCTCTGTTCCTCTCTCTCCCTCTGTTCCTCTCTCTCCCTCCCACTCTACCTGAACAAAAAATGGAAAAATGTCCTCAGGTGAGGATAAAAAAAAAAAAGCAAATCATATTCCTACTTCACAACATACAAAAAAAATAAACATCCAAGCCCTGGCCGGTTTGGCTCAGCGGTTAGAGCGTCGGCCTGCGGTCCAGAGAGACCCGGGTTTGGTTCCCGCTAAGGGCACATACCTTGGTTGCAGTTTGTCCCCAGCCCTGGTTGGGTCATGTGCATGGCAACCACTTGATGTGTCCCTTTCACGTCGATGTTTGTCTCCCTCCCTCCTACTCTATCTGAACAAAATATTGAAAAATGTCCTCGGTTGAGGATAAAAAAAAAAAAAGAAGAACCCAATATAAAACCCAAGAGTACACAGAAAGCAATTTAGAGAAGAGTAAGCAATTATAGAAATATGTTCAACTTTGGTAGTAATCAAGAAAATAAAATAACAGTGAGATCATGTGTCACTCATTAAATAGGTGATAATGTAATGGAGACCAGGTGAAGAAAAGGAAGTTTGCTGCTGGTGAAAATATAAATTGGTACAGCCTTTTTGGAAAAAAATCACACTAATTAGGAAAATTAAAAATACTCCCAACACTTTCACTTTTCAGCATATAAACTGGAGGAAAGTTCTCAAGAAGATTGTGTAAGAATATTGGTTGTGTCATTTTTGGTAATAGTGAAACTGCCCAAATGTTTTTCAAGACTAGGTAAACTAATGTGTGATACCCATTAAGTGGATAAAAGTTAATAAAAAATTAAAACAGTTTTTCTCAAGCCATTAACTTGATTATTTTGATTCTACGTTAAGTAGGTACAGTACTGTATGTTTCTTCAGCTCTTTATCAGTAGACTTGGTTTTGTGAAATTTTTCCTCAAGTGATCACTTTTACTGATACTTCCCTAAATTTAGATTGTTTATTCTTAGACATTGACTTTTCTGAACCTTCTAGGGGGAAAAAGCAGTCTTCAAAATTGTTTTGCTGCTTCATTTTTTATAGGACTAATGCTTCAAGCCAAACTCCCTCTGCCAAAAGAAGTTTGGGATTTCTTCCTCAGCCAACTCCTCTTTCTGTTAAAAAACTGAGATGTAATCAGGATTATACTGGCTGGAACAAACCAAGAGTGCCCCTTTCCTCTCACCAACAGCAACTGCAGGGGTAGGTAAATTTCTTCATTTGCTTTCTTTTTATAAAGTGGTTCAACTGAAGTATGTTTTGTTTGGTGTGGAAAATAATTATGAAAGGAGTCATATTAAGTATAGTTATAAAATATTTGCTCGCTTATTAAAGATTTACCACATCCGTCCAGCCAGTGTGGCTCAGTGGTTAAGCATCGATCCATGCACCAAGAGGTCACCAGTTTGATTCCTGGTCAGGGCACATGCCCAGGTTTTGGGCCTGATCCCCTGTGGGGGGCATGCAGGAGGTGACCAATCGATGTTTCTATCTCTTTCTCCCTCTCCCTTCCTCTCTGTCTCAAATCAATAAAGAAAATAATTTTTAAAAAAGAGAAAGGGCCCTGGCCGGTTTGGCTCAGCGGTTAGAGCGCCAGCCTGCGGTCCTGAGAGACCCGGGTTCAGTTCCCGCTAAGGGCATGTACCTTGGTTGCAGTTTGTCCCCGGCTCTGGTCAGTCGTGCGGTTGGCAGCCACTCGATGTGTCCCTTCGCATTGATGTTTCTCTCTCTCTCTCTCTGTTCCTCTCTCTCCCTCCCACTCTACCTGAACAAAAAATGGAAAAATGTCCTCGGGTGAGGATAAAAAAAAAAAAAAGATACACAGGGTGGCCAGGGTCAATGTAGCTCAGTTGGTTGGAGTGTTGTCCTGTGCACCAAAAAAGTAAATCTCATCATGGAGTAATAGAAAACCCAATATGTGGAACATTCCATTAAAAACCAGGGGTGTAGTGGACTGTATTCTTCACAAATGTCAATGTCATGAAAGAGAAAGCTATAAAATTGTTGCAGATTAAAGAAAACTAAAGAGAATGAAAACTAAATGTATTGCCCTGGCCGTTTTGGCTCAGCAGTTAGAGCATAGGCCTTCAGACCGGAGTCTTGGGTTCCATTCCAATCAAGGGCGCCTACCTTGGTTGTGGTTCAATCCCTGGCACTGTCAAGGTCCTGTGGGAGGCAACCAATTGATGTGTCGCACATTGATGTTTCTCTCTCTCTTTCCCTCCCTTCCATCCTATCTGAAAATCAATGAAAAAATATCCTCGGGCGAGGATTAAAGAAACAAAAACTAAATGTATTATGTTATTCTAGACTGAACCTTGTACTTAGGGAGAAAAAAATACTATAAAGAACATTATTGGGCCCTGGCTAGTTTTGCTTAGTGGTTGGAATATTGGCCTGCGGACCAATGAGTCGCGGGTTTGATTCCAGTTATGGATACGAACCTTGGTTGCAATTCGTCTCCGGCCCTGGTTGGGGTCGTGCAGGAGGCAGCCACTCTGTGTGTTCCTTTTACATCGATGTTTCTCTCTCTCTCTCCCTCTCCCTTCTCCCCACTCTGTCTGAACAAAAATGGAAAAAAGTGTCCTTGAATGAGGATAAAAAATATGTATTTTTTTAAATTAGTGGGTCAATTGACAAAACTGGATTAAAGAAAGTATATCAGATAAGAATTTTTTTTAGCATTACATTTTACAATGCTGGTAACTAATCTGGTTATGTAAGAGAATGTTTTTGTTCTTAGGAAACGCACCCTGAAGTATTTAGAGCTAAAAGAGATATGATTTCTGTAACTTACAAATGGTTCAGGAAAAAATAGAGGTATGAAATGATAGAGCATATAGTGCAAAAGGTTAACAATTGGTGAATCTGGGTAAAGAACATTATTCTTGTGTAACTTTTCTAAAAGTTCGAGACTATTTCTAAATAAAAGTGTTTTTTAAAATCAGTACTATGGCCCTGGCCGGTTTGGCTCAGCAGTTAGAATGTCAGCCTGCGGTTCCGAAAGACCTGGGTTTGGTTCCCGCTAAGGGCATGTACCTCGGTTGCAGTTTGTCCCCGGCCCTGGTTGGGTCGTGCGGGTGGCAACCACTCGATGTGTACCTTTCACATCGATGTTTCTCTCTCTCTCTCTTCCCCTCCCACTCTATCTGAACAAAAAATGGAAAAATGTCCTCGAGTGAGGATTAAAAATAATAATAATAAATTAAAATAAGTACTATAGAAAAGTGGTAGTACCCGTTAAAGCTAAACACAACATATACAGAGTGGGGCAAGAGTAGGTTTACAGTTCATATGGAAAATAATACAATGATTAATATTAATAAATAATGCAAGAATAAACTCTTTTGCATACTCACGAGTGTAAACCTACTTTTGCCCTACCCTGTATTGTATGACCAAGTGGTTCTACTAAGAACAAATAGCAATTTGGGTAAGTCCCCAGTCCTTTTTAGTTTTTATGTGAACGCATGTAATTTTCCTTGAGATGTGGTTCTCATAATGTGGTCCCCGGCCTAGCAGCATCACCATCAACTGGGATCCTGTTAGAAATGCATACTTTTGCACCTTCTTTGTCCAGAATCAGAAACTCTAGAGTTGGGGCCCAGCAATATGCATTTTAATAAGCCCTCTCGGTGATTGTGGTGCATGTTATACTGGAGAACCCCTGCTCTGGTGAACATACTTTAGATACTACTGTTGTCTTCAAAAGTATTCTTTCTTTCCTTTTTAGCTTCTCCAACTTGGGAAATACCTGCTATATGAATGCTATTTTACAATCCCTATTTTCACTCCAATCATTTGCAAATGACTTGCTTAAGCAAGGCATCCCATGGAAGAAAATTCCACACAATGCGCTTATCAGGTAACTGTTATGTGTACTTACTGAGTACCTTTTACCTTATTGATTATAGAATAATGGAGGGGTTTTTTTGTTTGTTTGGTTGGTTGGTTGGTTTCTTGTTTTTGGTTTTAGAATAATGGAGTTTTAGGCACTTAAAACTTTATGTGCCATGTTAACAGTCTTTAAAAATGCCATACTATTCAGTGTTTTGTTAAACATGCTAAACTGGTCTCTTTTGTTTTACCAGACGCTTCGCACACTTGCTTGTTAAAAAAGATATCTGTAATTCAGAGACCAAAAAGGATTTACTCAAGAAGGTTAAAAATGCCATTTCTGCGACAGCAGAGAGATTCTCTGGTTATATGCAGAATGTGAGTATATACACTTTAGAGATAGGGGAGATTGAAATGATTTCAGTGTGTTACTTGATTTTTATTTTAAAGTGCGATTTGTATATGTATGATGTGTTTATCACAGTTTGAAAAACCTGAGGACTTCTGGTAAGGTTCAGTGTGACTCTTCTGTGTAGTTGTCATATTTTAATAATACAGATGTGGTCTGTCAATGCAGGCACTTGGGTTATTTTAGCTACAAAGGCTATTCTTTTTTTAAAATTATCTTGTTAAAAAAACAAAGTAAGAAGTGAATCAATTATTCATTCATGTTAATCTCATTGATAGTGAAGAATGTAAAATTCATTATTTGTTCTTATTCACAAAATATGTAGAGTAAATCATTAGAGTAAATCTGACCTTTTTTTTTTTTTTTTTATCATCCTCACCCGAGGACACTTTTCCATTTTTGTTCAGATAGAGCGGGAGAGAGGGGGAGGAAGAGAGAGAGAGAGAGAGAAACATCGACGTGAAAGGGACACATCAAGTGGTCTCCACCCGCACAACCAACCAGGGCCGGGGACAAACTGCAACCGAAGTACGTGCCCTTAGCGGGAACCGAACCCGGGTCCCTCCGGACCGCAGGCTGATGCTCTAACCACTGAGCAAAACTGGCCAGGGCTAAATCTGACCTTTTTAATATAATGTTCCTGACTTACAAGTGCTTAGTTTTATAAATCACAATGTTAATAAGCTATTATTGCGACAAAAAATGTTTTGATCTGATTAAAGGTGTTATACCTTCTTAGGATGCTCATGAATTCCTAAGTCAGTGCTTAGACCAGCTAAAAGAGGATATGGAAAAATTAAATAAAACTTGGAAGACTGAACCTGTTCCTGGAGAAGAAAATTCGCCAGATATTTCAGCCACTCGAGTATACACTTGCCCTGTTATTACTAATTTGGAGTTTGAAGTTCAGCACTCAATTATCTGTAAAGCGTAAGTAGTCTCCAAGAAACATCTTTTTTCCTTTTAATTCTTCATAGCAAGTGATTGAAGCTCTTCCGAAGGTTTTGATTCTTGTCTTCCTCTGTCATGAGAAAACAAATACAAACATCTTTTTTTAGTGTTACCTTCTCTAAAAATGCTTGGTGGGATAAGAACTAAAGAGTACTTATATTTTTTGTCATATGCTTTAGTGGTAACAGTCACTTTTTTTTTTTTTTCCTCACCCGAGGACATTTTTCCAGTTTTGGTTCAGATAGAATGGAGGGGGAGAGAGACAGAAGTATCGACGTGAAAAGGACACATCGAATGGCTGCCACCGGCACAACCCAACCAGGGCTGGGGACAAACTGTAACCACAGTACATGCCCTTAGCAGGAACCGAAGCCAGGTCTTTCTGGACCGCAGGCCAACGCTCTAACCGCTGAGCCAAACCAGCCAGGGCGTAATGGTCACTTTTGATCTACCGTGTGTGTGTGTGTGTGTGTGTGTGTGTGTGTGTGTGTGTGAATCACTGTGGAATATTGAGTTCTTTGGGATTACTTGTTCTTTTTACCCTGAAAAGACTCGCTCCTGTCAGTTACTTATTTTGTTGAACCAAATTATTTTTATTAAAAATGGGTTTTTACAAAATAAATCAAAATTTGAATTATTTTTAACTTCTGCAGTACTTTTTAACCATGTTTACCTTAGTTATTCAAATTTACTTTCTATATTTAATTTCCATTCTCATCATCTCACGTCAAAAGGTTCCATTTTGATTAATCTTCCAGTTATTGACGATAGTACATCTTTGAATACAAGTTTTCAAATACAGTGGAATTTTTCATAGTCCCTATATAAATGAGAATTAGTTCTGTGGCTTTCATACATGACTTAATACAGAATTATTCAGTCACATATAGCCTTACCCTTCAACATATTACGTATACTGTTTCATTGTATCTTGTTACTCTGTGTCTGTTAGGAGAAACCTGATGTTCTGGGTAATCTTTTTCTTCCTGAAAATCTTCCTTATTTATTGGAAATTCAGAATTTTGCTAGTTTGCATCTAGTATAGACACTTTTTGTTAATTTTGCTTTTAACATGATGGAGCTTTTTCATCTAAAGATTTGGGGTTTTCTTTAATTCAAGGAAACTACAGCAGAACTTTGGTTCTAGAACTTAATTTGTCCCAGAAGGTTGTTTGGAAACCAAATTATTTTTTCCCATTAGAAGTAATGCAAACTGAATTAATTCATTCCAGATCCCAAATAATTCTGTTTTAACTATTTTTATATATGTCTAATGTACTGTTTAATCTATAAACAAACACTTCTTTTCTTAAATTTATCAACCCCCCCCCACTAGTCTTAAACGAATCACTTTCAGCACACTTCCAGAGGTGTCTTTCAGTTCAGCATGCACCACCTTCATTTGCTGTCACCAGCTAACTGCTTTTCATTTATCCAAAACAACAGTTTTTCTACCCTGTGATCATTGTTTCTTTCATACCATTAGCCACATTAGCACTCTTGAAGGCCTCGGGGTTTTTTTTATTCCTCACCTGAGGATACTTTTCTGTTTATCATCAGATAGAGTGGAAGGGAGAGAGAGACAGACAGAGAGAAACATCGGTGTGATAGAACCACATCGACTGGTTGCTTCCCGCGTAACCAGGGCCCTGGGACAAACCACAACTAAGGTAAATGCCCTTGACCAGAAATGAACCTGCAACTCATTGGTCTGCGGGCCGATGCTCTGACCATTGAACCAAACTGGTCAGGGTGTCCTCTTTATGTTTTAAAATTGTGCTAATAGTCCATTTTGCCAGCAACAAAAGCAAAACACACAAAAATATTCACAGCACAATTTCCTGAGATGTTAACATGGGGTTTAGAGATAAACTGACCCATATTGGTGCATTCTCTTCTTTGTTTGTGGCCTGAGAGATGCTTTTTGTCATGCTGGTGTATCAGCAAGAAAGGGTTATCAGGTTTAGAACCTAAGTTTTTTCAACAACTCAGACATTTTTTCTGAGAACAGCCTGGTGGAGAACCGAATTGTTTGAGATGGGAGACATTCGAGAACTGAGGCTTGACTGTATTCTCTAAATACTGCTTTTCTTTCATTTTTTCTGGAATTTTATTTTAGAAATAGTCAACATCCATATATTAGCTTTATTTTCTGGCTTCCATATTTGTCTATTTTTTTTAAGTTGCTCAAAATGGTAGTGTTCATTGAGGTCTTTCAGCTAGAACATTCTAGTATTTTTTACTAGAATTTTGAACAGACATGTGGAATGTGGACACTATAAAAATAGTAGTTTTGCATCACTGGTTTGTGACATTTCTTACCCTCATGATTTCTTCAGCCTTTTTCCTTCCAGTGGAAAAATTACTTTTTAAAGAAAATTTCTGGGTCTTACAAATAAAGCTCATTTTCTTGTAAAAACTAGAGAGCTTATCAGCAGTTAATATGATAGCCATCCTTCTCTTTCTTTCAATGCCCTTTCTTCTTCTTTTTCATTCTCATCTGAGGATATTTTTCCGTTGATCTTTAGAGTGAGTGGGAGGGAGGGGGAGAGAGAGAGAGATATGACAGAGACACATTGATTGGCCACCTCCTGCACGACCCCAACCAGGTCCAGGGATCAAACCTGCAACCCAGGTACATGCCTCTGACTGGAATCGAACCCGAGAACCTTTGGTCCCCGGGGCCAGTGCTCTAACCACTGGGAAAAACTGGCCAGGGTCTTCCTTTTTTAAAAAAACAATTATTTTTAATCCCCACCCAAGGATATGTTTTATTTTTTCATTGATTTTAGAGAGAGAGAGTGAGAATCATTGATGTGAGAGAGAAACATCAATGTAACAAATACTGATCACTTGCATCCTGTATGCACTCCAACCAGGGATCAAACCCACAGCCCAGATATATGCCCTGACTAGGAATCAAATCCACCACCTTTTGGTGTACAGGATGATGCTCCAACCTGGCCAGGGCCCAGTGCATTTGCCAAACAAAATTTGTTCAAGTTGTAGAGAGAAGCAAAGTTTTTTTATTGTTATTTCATTTAATTGTGGAAGTATCAACCAAATTTCTTTTTCTTTTTTCTTTTTATTCATTGGTTTTAGAGAGAGCGCAACATTGATTGGTTGCCTCCAGTACGTGCCCCAACTGCTGAGCTAAACCAGCCAGGGCCCAAATTTCTCTTGATAGAAATTTTTCATTTGCCTCTGGTAGAAATGGCAATAGACAGCACAGGAAGAAAGAAGACCGTAGCATAGCAGTGGCTGCTTCACTGTGCCAACAGAATCAGCCAGGCACTCCAGTTGTGTAGCACCAAATGTTGAGTGTGCAGTTGAGATGTGTGCACCGTTGCATGAGGTGATGTGGTTCATGGGATGTAGGCATATGAGACAGCCAAGCTGAACAGTGGCCTAGGAGTTTGTCGAATTCGGAGGCAACAAGGCTATGTGGGGTCACAGCCACAGTGGCGCAGCTGTCTCCTCAAAGGCCTTGCCTTAGTTGCTTTATTAGTTATTTTCTTTAAGACAGTTCTTTAAACACAAAGTAGTTTCTGGCTGGAGGAAGATTTTATGTACCTTATTCCTCGAATTGTAATTTTCCATGTTTAGCCTCTTCCTTCTGGCTGTAGATTTGTTTGGCCAGTTTGTCAAGTGTACCTTTTTTTTTTTTAACTGTTATAGTTTAAGTAGACTGGTTTTCAGTTATTACATGGCATTTCAATATATTAATAATATATTCTCAAATATGAATTATGAATTCTCCATTTGATGAAATATCTAAAATTAAGTATGTAATATTCTCAATGAAACATCATTCGGCAGTCTTCCCTATCTCAGTAATGGCAGTTCCAGAAATGTGGTGTATTTCTTAACTATTTTCTTTCTCTTGCATCCCTACATCTAATTGTCAGCAAATCCTTTCAACTCTTTACAATACATCCAGAATCTGACACACACACCCACACACACCCATTTTTTTTTTACCACCTCTTCTGCTTCTACTTTGGACTAAGCTACTGTCATCTCTTGTCTGAATTGTTGCAGTTCCTTCTAAAATGGTCTTTGTGTTTCTGTCCTTGTCTCTCTCTCATCTATTTTAAACACATTAGTCGAAGTGATCCATTTTAAGTGGAAATTAGTTCATGTCAGCCCTCTGCTGCTTATAGCCCTTAAAATAAAAGCTGAAATCCTTACTATGATCTACAGAACTCCTTAAGATCTGATTTTGAGCAACCTCTCTCCCCTAGTTAACTTGCTGGCTTCATCTCCTACCATTCACCCCTTTGCTCATTTGGTTCTAATCAAACTAGCTTCTTACCTTTTTACAAAAATGCCAGGAACTTGGTAGCTCAGGGCCTTTCCACATGTCAAGAAAGTACATACATATTTGCAATTGAGGTTTTACCTGTACTGATTTAATAAGGGTTAAAGTAAGCATGTCTTAAGTGTTATATATTTCTTATACCTAGTCATAGTCTGTCAGTACTGCATAAGTTCTGTGGGGGAACAGTGTTTCTGAAGTGTATTTGTATTTATTTTGCATTGCAGTTAGGCTTCTGAATGCTTACATTGTCTTTTATTCTTACAGATGTGGAGAGATTATTCCCAAAAGAGAACAGTTTAATGACCTCTCCATTGACCTCCCTCGAAGGAAAAAGCCACTCCCTCCACGTTCAATTCAAGATTCTCTAGATCTTTTCTTTAGGGTAAGTAGTATCTTTTGGTATTTCTACGTAACTAAATTTTATGTATCATAGAACATTATATTGAAGTTGGTTTAAGGCCGAGTTTGGACAAAATTACTTGCAGGAAAACAAATGAGAAATATTTATAAGTGATATTTATATTTTAAAGCTTGATAAATCTGATTATTAGCTCATTGAAGAAAATTGATTGCTTAAGTAATTAAACATTTGACTCAGCCAGTGTTTTAGACAATCTTAGAAGCAGTTATTTGTAAATGAATATTAGTTTGAAGCATAAGAAATGACATGCTAAAATTTGGTAATGTGGATTAAAATTGGAGACACTATGTAAAGTGAGTATACTGAGACCTGAGGAATAAAAAATGCTCTGCTTTTCTTAGGTTGTATGTACACTATTAGAAACAACACAGAAGAGTCATGTTTATCCAGAGTTGTAAATAAATATTTGTGTCTGTGATACACTGTTACTGATAACCTGGGGCATAATTGGACCTGTTGTGTAGCAGTCCTTATAACTGATGGTAATTTGCCAGGATCACCCTTTGTCTTTTTAATAGTGGTTTTGTTTGTTGTGGCAAATAGGCAGGATTGTCTTCCTAAGGTTAAAAAACTTCTGTTCTTTAAATGATGAACATTTAGCTCCACCCAAAGATAAATACTCTGCTTTTCTTTTTGTTTTAATCATTCCTTACTATTCCTGTTATTATCATAGAATTTGAAGCTTTTCCTGTGTCTCTTTTACCCCCATTTTTTAAGGATTTCTTGTTTCAGTTTTCTCTAGGTTATGATATCCACCCCAAACTTTGGTCCTTTTAGAGCAGTTGTTCTTAGTGGGCTGTTACCAGAAGATTGAGTTCCATTATAAGAAAGGGGTAGCGTTACACCTAACAGACCAGGAACTCCGCCTAACCTGAAGGTGATCTTATCTCTGCTATGGCCAAATGTTAAGTCTGGATATACTCTTGGCAGTGGTTTTTGTGTATGTATTCATGGGGAAAAAGTTGAGAATCTACTACTGTAGAATCTGGTTACTGTCATAAATCGAGGCATTTCCTTTATATAAAAGGAAATTAGGAATTCAAAAATAACTATATTTTGAGGATTAGGTCTTAATTTAGTAAGGTTTGTGACTCTAGATACATTTAAACTGGACACAATTTAAAACTTCTCATTCCACTGAAGTAGTATGACTAGAGAAGATTAGTAGCATTTAATGGGATAATGCTAACTCGGCTCCATGCTTCTTTATTTTTGCCTCTTGTCTTTTTACAGGCAGAAGAAATTGAGTATTCCTGTGAGAAGTGTAATGGGAAGTGTGCTCTTGTCAGGCACAAATTTAACAGGCTGCCCAGGTAAAATTAGTTGCTCTTTAATTTTTCTTTTTTCTTTGTTGTTGTTCAGATAGAGTGGGAGGCAGAGAGAGAGAAACATCAATGTGAGAGAGGCACATTGACCGGCTGGCTGCCTCCTGCACGACCCCAACCAGGGCCTAGGATGAACTGCAACCGAGGTACATGCCCATGACTGGAATTGAACCCGTGACTCATTATTCCGCGGGCCAACACTCTAACCGCTAAGCCAAATCGGCCAGGGCTAATTTTTCTTAAATGAGTTTTACCAGAATGGGTTGGTAAAGAAGGTCAGCAAAGCTGAGATATGAAGAGGGTAGAGGATAGACAGCTAGAACGCAGAAGAAAGGAGGAGGATTTGGAATGTTGAAGGAACTTCAGAGTCCCAAGTGATGGTAACAAGAGGACTTAGCTGGTGAGACTCTGGAATAATGATAGAGAAAGTGAGTCGATTTTGTTTTCCATTGAATTTTAGAGAAGAAGGGAGGGAGGGAGAGACAGACAGACAGAAACATCAATGTGAGAGAGATACATGGATTGGTTTCCTCCTGTACATACCCCGACCAGGGCAGCCCAGGTACATGCCTTTGTCCTGAATTGAGCCCGTGACCCTTTGGTTCAAGGGCCAACGCTCTAACTGCTGAACCAAACCAGCCAGGGCTGTTATAATTTTTTGTTGTGTTGTGCTGTAACTCCTCTCTCTCTTATCCCAAACTTTAGTAAAAATCTGCTACAGACACATACATGTGTGTATGAAAATAAAATAGGAAGAGTAATTTTTCTGCAATTTGTGTATTCCTTATTCAGAGGATCTTATAAGTTGGTAAATTTTCTGTAATAACAATTCTGAATTAGGAATGATATTAACTTACCTTGTATTAGTTTTCTATAAACAAATGTAAAACCACACTAGTTAGAAGAATTATTATGTGATTATAGGACAGCTTTATTTATTTTTTATCCTCACCCGAGGACATTTTTCTGTTTTTTGTTCAGATAGCGTAGGAGAGAGAGAGAAATATTGACATGAACGGGACACATCAAGTGGTTGCCACCTGCATGGCCCAACCAGGGTCGGGGACAAACTGCAACTGAGGTACATGCCCTTAGTGGGAACTGAACTCAGATCTCTCTGGACCACAGGCCAATGCTCTAACAGCTGAGCCAAACTGGCCTGGGCTATAAGACAAGTTTTAGTTCTTTCCAAGAATAGATCTCAACCATAAACAAGGTTATTATTAACATTAAGTTTTTGTTGTTGTTTTTTTTTTAATTTTATTTTTGTTACAGGTGTTTTCTCCTTTTTTACCCCATTGACACCCTCCTCCCCATCCCCCCTGCCCCATCCCCGGCTTTGTTGTCCATGTTCATTGGTTATGCATACATGCATGTAAGATCTGTGGTTTATCTCTTCCTACCCCCACCACCCCCTCTTCTGAGGGTTGTCAGTCTGTACCCTACTATCGTGTTTCAGGGTCTACCCTATTCCTCAGACTGTTATATTCATTATATTCCATATGTAAGTGAGATCATGTGGTATTTGTCTTTTTTTGCTTGGCTTGTTTCACTTAGGATAATACTTTCCAGGCCCCTCCATGTGGTCTCAAAGGATAAGAGATCTTTCTTACAGCTGCATAGTACTCCATTGTGTATATGTACCACTGCTTTTTTATCCATTCGTCTACTGATGGACACTTGGGCTGTTTCCAGATTTTAGCTATTGTAAATAGTGCTGCTATGAACATGGGGGTACATATATTCTTTCTGATTGGTGTTTCAGGCTTCTTAGGGTATATTCCTAGAAGCGGGATCACTGGGTCAAATGGAAGTTCAATTTTTAATTTTTTGACGTAACACCATATTGTTTTCCATAGTGGCTGCACCAGTCTGCATTCCCACCAGCAGTGCACTAGAGTCCCCTTTTCTCCACACTGTCGCCAACACTTGATGATTTGTTGATGGCGGCTGTTCTGACAGGTGTGAGGTGATACCTCATTGTTGTTTTAATTTGCATCTCTCTGATGATTAGTAATGTTGAGCATTTCTTCATGTCTCTTGGCCATTTGTATGTCCTGTTTGGAGAGGTGCGTATTCAGCTCCTCTGCCCATTTTTTAATTGGAGACTTTGTCTTCCTTTTGTTGAGTTGTATGAGTATTCTATATATTTTGGAAATTAACCCCTTATCTGTTGAATCATTGGCAGTGATGTTCTCCCATACAGTGGGTTGCCTTTCCATTTTGATGGTTGTTTCTTTTGCTGTGCAGAAGCTTTTCAGTTTGATGTAGTCCCATGTGTTCATTTTTTTCTTTGTTTCTGTTGCCTTAGGTGATGTATCAGTGAAAATTCTGCTGCATATGATGTCCGAAATTTTGTTGCCTACATTTTCTTCTAGAATTTTTATGGATTCACGGGTCACATTTAAGTCTTTTATTCATTTTGAGTTTATTTTTGTGTAAGGTGTAAGTTGATGGTCTAGTTTCATTTTTTTGCATGTAGCTGTCCAATTTTCCCAACACCATATATTAAAGAGGCTGTCTTTACTCTACTGTATGCTCTTGCCACCTTTGTCAAATATTAATTGACCATATTGCCTTGGGTTCATTTCTGGGTTCTCTAGTCTGTACCACTGGTCCATATTGCTGTGATCCCACCTACTTTGTCCTTTTTCAAAATTGCTGTGGCTATTCGGGGTCTTTTTTGGTTCCATATGAACTTTTGAAGTATTTGTCCTAGTTCTGTGAAGTATGTCGTTGGTATTTTGATGGGGATTGCATTGAATCTATAGATTGCTTTGAGTAATATGGACATTTTAATAATGTTAATTCTTCCAATCCATGAACAAGGTATGTCCTTCCACTTTTTTATATCTTCCTCTATTTCTTTTTTCAATGTCCTGTAGTGTTCTGGAAATAGGTCCATTACTTCTTTGGTTAAGTTTATTCCTAGGTATCTTAATTTTTTTGCCGCGATGGTAAATGGGATTGTTTTTTCAGTTTCTCTTTCTGTGAGTTCATCATTGGTGTATAAAAATGCCATCGATTTCTTGACATTAATTTTGTATCCTGCTACTTTACCAAATTCATTTATTAAGTCTAATAGATTTTTGATGGAATCTTTTCTATGTATGTTTTTCTATGTATAAAATCATGTTGTCTGCAAATAATGACAGTTTCACTTCCTCCTTTCCAATTTGGATCCCTTTTATTTTTTCTTTATGTCTGATTGCTGTGGCTAAGACTTCCAGTACAATGTTAAATAAGAGTGGCGAAAGTGGACATCCCTGTCTTGTTCCTGTTCTTAATGGAAATGTTTTTAGTTTTTGCCCATTGAGTATGATGTTGGCTGTAGGTCTTTCATATATGGCCTTTATTATGTCGAGATATGATCCCTCTATTCCCACATTGCTGAGCGTTTTTATCAGAAATGGATGCTGGATTTTGTCAAATGCTTTTTCAGCGTCTATTGATATGATCATGTGTTTTCTATTCTTCATTTTGTTTATGTGGTCTATCACATTTATTGATTTGTGAATATTGTAACAGCCCTGCATGCCTGGGATGAATCCCACTTGGTCATGGTGAATAATTTTTTTGATGTATTGCTGGATCCGATTTGCTAGTATTTTGTTCAGAGTTTTGGCGTCTATGTTCATCATGTATATTGGCCTGTAGTTTTCTTTCTTTGTAGTGTCTTTTTCTGGTTTTGGAATTAGAATTATGCTGGTTTCATAAAACGAGTTTGGAAGTCTTCCTTCTTGACCTTTTTGAAATAGTTTGAGGAGAATGGGTGTTAGTTCTTTGAATGTTCAGTAAAACTCCCCTGTGAAGCCATGTGGGCCTGGGCTTTTGTTTGCTGGGAGAGTCTTGATTACCTCTTCAATTTCCTTAGTTGTTATTGGTCCGTTCAAGTTTTCTATCTCTTCCCAGTCCAGTTTTGGGAGACTGTGTGTTTCTAGAAATTTGTCCATTTTGCTTAGATTGTCAAATTTATTGCCATATAATTGTTATAGTAGCTGGTAACGATCTTTTGTATTTCTGTGGTGTCAGTTGTTACTTCTCCTCTTTCGTTTCTGATTTTGTGCATTTGGGTTCTCTCTCTTTGTTTCTTGGTGAGTCTAGCTAAGGGTCCATCAATCTTGCTTATCTTTTCGAAAAACCAGCTCTTTCTTTTATTGATCCTTTGAATTGTTTTTTTGGTCTTTATGTCATTTATTTCTGCTCTGATCTTTACTATTTTCTTTCTTGTACTTGCTCTGGGGTTTTCTTTTTGTTTGCTTTCTAATTCTTTAAGTTGTGAGGTTAGACAATCAAGTAGAAATTTTTCTTGTTTCTTGAGGTAGGCCTGTAGTAGTGCCATGAACTTCCCTCTCAGAATTGCTTTTGCTGCAGCCTATAGATTTTGTGTTGTGTGTTCATTTTCATTGTTTTCCAGGAAGTTTTTAATTTCTTCCTTGATCTCCTCGGTGACCCATTCATTGTTTAATAAAATGCTAGTTAGCCTCCATGTGTTCAAATGTCTTTGCATGTTTTTGTTGCAATTGATTTCTAGTTTCATGCCATTGTGATCTGAGAAGATGCTTGATATGATTTCAATCTTCTTGAACTTGTAGAGATTTAGTTTGTATCCTATCATGTGGTCTGTCTTTGAGAATGTCCCGTGTGCACTTGAGAAGAATGTGAATTCTGTAGTTTTGGGGTGTAATTCTCTGTAGATATCTATTAAATCCATTTGGTCTAGTGCTTCATTTAGAGTCTCTGTTTCCTTGCTAATTTTTTGTCTAGAGGATCTATCCAGTGGTGTCAACGGGTGTTGAAGTCCCCTGCTATGATTGTATTGCTCTCGATTTCTCCTTTGAAGTCCTCCAAAAGATTTTTAATATATTTTGGTGCTCCTATATTGGGTGCATATATGTTTATCAAGGTTATATCTTCCTGTTGGATAGATCCTTTCAATATTATGTAGTGGCTTTCTTTGTCTCTAGTTATGGTCTTCATTTTGAAATTTATTTTATCAGATATGAGTATTGCTACCCCAGGTTTTTTTTTTGCTTTCTGTTTGCTTGGAAAATTTTTTTCCATCCCTTCACTTTCAGTCTATGTGAGTCTTTTGTTGGGAGGTGGGTCTCTTGTAAACAACATATAGATGAGTCATGCTTTCTTATCCAATCAGCTACTCTGTGTCTTTTTATCGGAGCATTCAGTCCATTTACATTTAAGCTGATTATTGATATGTACTTATTTATTGCCATTTTTGTTTAGTTTGGTTATATTTTTCTTCCTATTCTACTAATTACAACAGTCCTTTTAACATTTCTTGTAGAGCTGGTTTGGTACTAATGTATTTTCTTAGCCTTTTTTTTGTCTTGGAAGCTCTTTATTTGACCTTCTATTTTGAATGACAGCCTTGCTGGGTAGAGTAGTCTTGGATTCAGATCCTTGTATTTCATGACCTTGATTATTTCATGCCATTCCCTTCTGGCCTGTAGTGTTTCTTGTGAGAAGTCAGCTGAGAGCCTTATGGGGTTTCCTTTGTAGGTAACCTGTTGTTTATCTCTTGGTGCTTTTAGGATTCTCTCTTTGTTTTTAAATTTTCTCATTTTAATTACTATGTGTGTTGGTGTGGGCCTGTTTGGGTTCTTCTTACTTGGGGCTCTCTGTGCTTCTTGAACTTGAATGCCTTCTTCCTTCACCAAATTAGGGAAGTTTTCTGTCACTATTTCTTTGAATATATTCACTAAACCTTGCTCATTTTCTTCTTCTTCGGGGACTCCTATGATGCGAATATTATTACGTTTCCAGTTGTTCCACAGTTCTCTTAAGCTGTCTTCCTGTTTTTTAATCGTTTTTTTCCTTTTGGTTTTCTGATTGGTTGATTTTTTTTTCTACCCTGTCTTCTAATTCGCTGATCCGGTCCTCAGCTTCCTCTACTCTGCTCTTTAGACCTTGCAATGTGTTCTTTATTTCTGATATATCACTCTTGATCTCTTCCTGGTGGTTTTTAATTTCCAATTGGTTTATTTTCAGCATCTCTATGTCTTTACTCATGCTGTTGAGCTTCCTCAAGATCATGGCTCTGAATTCTAGCTCTGTTAACATGCCCAACTGCTCCACATTGATATCTTCTCCAGTGGAGGTCTCTTGTTCTTTCATTTGGCTTTTTTTTTCTGTGTTTCACCATTTTGGCTATCATAGTGGGCTTTGGAGCCTGCCAAGTTTTCCCTGTGGGTATTGGTGTTCTGCTGTTTGTGGCTCCCTCTTCTGGGTTTAGATGAGCGAGGGAGGACCCATGTTAAACACCACTGTCAAGTCTTACTGTCCTGGTTAGAGTTGCTAGTGCAGGAATGGTCCTGTTTTCCTCTAGCTTTTTGCCTGGAGGCTAGCAGTCCCGGTTACTTGAAGAGTTTTGGGTTGTCAGTTGATTGAAAAACTCCCTCAGGTGCTCAGCATAAGGGGATTTCCCGAGGGTGGGGCAGATGCTGGTTGTTAGTAAGCCTAAATTTGCATTTCAGTGACCCACCTGGGTTGATTTGAATCTCGAGAGGTGGGCTTCTGCCTCTCCCCAGAGCCCTGGGAAGGAGCAATATAGCCACCGTCCTGCGTGGCTGCAACTCTGCAAAAGCTCTGAACGCCCTCCAAATCCCGAGTGTCCCCACACAGCTCCAGTCTGTCCTCCCTCTGCCTCAGCCCAAGGTGATTGGCTGTGGCTATTTTAGCCTCTGTCCTGGCTGTAAGCCGCTTGGGACTTTAACCGGAGGGCGCGCCTCTCATAGCTGAGGCCGCTGCCAAGCTGCCGACCATGGGCTCCCAGCCCCCGTCTCGCACCTTCACAAGCCTACCAGGATTGAGTCAGTATCCCTGGTTATATGGTCCTCGCAAGCTGCTTTTCTGTTGCTTTCCCCCTTCGATTTGTCTGTGTTTTAGTTGTAATTCCAGTTTGGTCCTGGGAGACGGTCTGTGTAGCTCCGTTCACTCCGCCGCCATTTTGGAATCCATCAACATTAAGTATTCATATGGCACTTTACCTGCAGAGTGCTTTGCTTTCTTTTATTAGCTTCAGTTTTTCTGAGACTAAGTGTAGAGTTTCTGGAACTTCACCCCTAGAGACTGGTTCTTTTGCAAAATAATCTCCATTCTAGAAAATGAAATATTTTTAAAGAAATCATTTTCTAAATCATAACACTATTATGTTCACCATAATCTGTGTATTTCTTACTTAAGAGACTTGTTCTTTGCTATTTGTGAGTATTTTGATGCAAGATGGGGAGTATTGGGGGTGACAAATATTAAGGCAAAGGATTATTATCAGCTGTCATATGGGAAGGAAATTGGTGTCACTTAAAAATACTTGTTTAACCTGGCAAGCTGACTATATGTTCCCTTTCCAATTGTCTAGTTATTTGGTCTTTCAAGTGGGAAAAAAAATACTGAGGGAAATTTTCCTCCTCATTTTTTTTTTGTTTTGTTTTGTTTTCTGGTAGGTCACATATGTTAAAAGGTTAATTTATTCCAAACTTACATGAAATAGAAGCCTTTGTATCATAAATCCTAATATTGGTCTTGCTTTGTTTTTGTTCCTTTTACTATTAAAGCCAATCTACTCTTCTTGAAGGGTCTGGTACCTTTATCAAATATGTTCATTCCTAGTCCACCTCATCTTTACAAATCAGTTATTTTAACTATGTCATCTGTCTCTTTTATATTGCCTTTTTTTTTTTGGTATGATTATTTGAAAATTTAGTTAAAATATTTCATATCTGATATAGTTTTTTTAGTGTTCACATCAGCTGTATCCTTGTCTCAAATTGTGAATTTAAAGGTTATGAATTCTACCTTTTTAAAGAAAAATAGTCAATAACTTTAATTTACAGATTTTTTTAATTTGTAGCTTCTGTGGTGAAGGTATATGTATATGGTAAGAAAGTAGACAGTTTTCATAAATCAGATGTTATTTTTGCCTGGAATTGAGGTTTATTCCCATAAGAGTTCTGAAATTCAGTTGTTGAAGTGTTCTTGTCCAGTATGAAGTATATCTAGTCCATCAGGCAGAGATTATGTTCTATATTAGAGGTGAAAGGTGCCACAATAGTAACCAAAAAGTGTTTTTAACGATCTGAAAGCCTTTTCAGACCCACAAACCAGGGGCGCAATGAAATTTTGTAGAACTTTCAAGCGTAGAAAATTTTTCTATTTCTCTTAGCTTTTTTTTTTTTCCCAGAGAAAGTGCTACTGAAATAATACTTCTTGTAAAAAAAAAAATCATCTTGAAAATATCAATGTTTACAATCAAAAATAGGGCTCTTTTAACATTTTAATTAAAATTATCACCAATGGTTATATAACATCTTTTTTCTTTTAAATCCTCACCTGAGCCCTGGCCGGTTTGGCTCAGCGGTTAGAGCGTCGGCCTGCGGTCCTGAGAGACCCGGGTTCGGTTCCCACTAAGGGCACGTACCTCGGTTGCAGTTTGTCCCCGGCCCTGGTCGGTTGTGCGGGTAGCAGCCACTCGATGTGTCCCTTTCACATCAATGTTTCTTTCTCTCTCTCTGTTCCTCTTTCTCCCCCGTCCCCCCCCCCATCTACCTGAACAAAAAATGGAAAAATGTCCTCGGGTGAGGATTAAATAAATAAATAAATAAATAAATAAAATAAATCCTCACCCGAGGACATTTGTTGATATTTTGTTCAGATAGAGTGGGAGGGGGGTAGAGAGAAATATTGACGTGAAAGGGACACATCGAGTAGTTGCCACCCACACGACCCCAACCCGGATGGACCAGGGACAAACCGCAACCGAGGTCCATACCCTTAGCGGGAACTGAACCCAGGTCTCTGGTCTGCAAGCCGACGCTCTTAACTGCTGAGCTAAACTGGCCAGGGCCAAATGTATTCTTTAATCAAGAGTTATCTTGAAACACCAATCAGAAAGAATATATGTACCCCTATGTTCATAGCAGCACTGTTTACTATAGCTAAGATCTGGAAACAACCCAAGTGTCCATCAGTAGATGAGTGGATAAAAAAGCTGTGGTACATGTACACAATGGAATACTATGCAGCTGTAAGAAAGAAAGATCTCTTATCCTTTGAGATGGCATGGAAGGACCTGGAGAAGTATTATGCTAAGTGAAACAAGCCAAGCAGAGAAAGACAAATATCACATGATCTCACTTATTTGTGGAATATATATAGTGAACTAAACAAACAGATGAACAAAATTAACCCAGAGACATAGAGGTGTGAGGTACAGACTGACAAGCCTCAGAAAATGAAGGGGGGGAGGTTGGGGAGGAAAGAGATAAACCACAGAACTTACATGTATGTGTGTGTGACCAATGAACATAAACAACAAAGCTGGGGATGGGGCGGGGGGAAGGGGAGGAGGGTGTCAGTGGGGGGGGGGATGAGAAACATCTGTAACAAAAACAATAAATAAAAAATAAAATAAAATAAAAGAATTATCTAACAAGGTTAGTTTCTGTGATCTCTTGTCGAGTACACTATATTAAGAGAGCTAGCTTTATTATGTACAAACTAGTAACGTCATCATCTTCTGTTTTCAGGATCCTCATTCTTCATTTGAAGCGATATAGCTTCAATATTACTCTCTCACTTAACAACAAGATCGGGCAGCAAGTCATCATTCCCAGATACCTGACCCTGTCGTCTCATTGCACTGAAAATACAAAACCACCCTTCACCCTTGGTTGGAGTGCACATATGGCAATGTAAGTCCTTAAGAGAATTCCTTTGCCTTCGCTTTTAATATAGAAAGGCTAGTATCTGATCAAAAGAATGAATGAGCTAGCTAACACAGCTCCTGGGTAAAATCAGATTAAGAAGGAGATTTTAATTTTGCTTTATTTCAGGATTTTGTGTTAAATTACTACCAAATTGTAGTAATTGAAGTAATAAAATGCTTATACAAAATTCTTCCAAGTACATTAGTTGCCTTTCATAATTTACCTTTTTAGGGAATGCACTTAGGATTTTAGATCACTAGAAGACAGTTTGATACATGTTAGGAATATAAACTTAATTTGCGTGCTCATAAGAGTCACCTAAACACTAAAATACTGATTCTTGTATTTCCCTAAAAGTTCTGTTTCATTAAATCTAAGATAGGACTTAGGAATCAATACTTTTAGCAAATGCCTTTCTGACTCTTTGGGCTAGTCAGATTTAGGAAACAGTATATTGAGTGTTATGCTGGGATCCCAAAAATAGATTGTGTCTTCATATATGTATTGTTGCCTTTGGCAGTAAAGAACTTCAGTGGCTCCTAAAAATTTTTACATGAGAAAAAAGAAGTAACCTTTAATTTTGATTTTGCACCATCGTGCGTGTTGGGAAAACCTGAGGACTTTTTAATATCGATTGCTCTTTCTTCTGCATATTTACATTATTTTGGAGCCATATATTGTAGTTCTTTATACTTCAACTCTAGTTTGATAGAGTCATAAAGTTTAGAACATCGGAGTTGAAAAGGATTTTAGAGATTTTGTTGAAATTCTTAGTTTTACAGAAAAGATTAAGAAAATTTTCTTGCCCTGGCCGGTTTGGCCCAGCGGTTAGAGCGGTTCAGAGAGACCCAGGTTCGGCTCCGTTGCAGTTTGTTCCCGGCCCCGGTTGGGTTGTGTGGGTAGCAACCACTCAATGTGTCCCTTTTACGTCGATGTTTCTCTCTCCCTCCCACTCTGTCTGAACAAAAAATGAAAAAATGTCCTTAGGTGAGGATTTAAAAAAAAAGAAGAAATTTTCTTGAAGTCATACGGTTAGTAACTGGAACAGCCCAGTTTCTTGGCTAACGTGGAATAATAGACATTCCAAAAAGTGAATGAACATTCACTAATGTGAATTGATACAGTTTTGTAAAAATGTATTTCTCCTTGGGTTAATAATGAAAATGTATATACTGCATCATATAAGTTTATACTAAAGGCCTTAATGGGTCTACTAATAAGGACATGTTCCCAGAGACTTAATGTTTCTGGATTTTGTCTTGTGGCCTTTCTTTGGAGTAGATATGGGTTTAGGGCTTTTGGAGGTTTTTTGCTTGATGCAACTGCCCTCTGCTGGTAGAGTTACTACTTTTCCGGCAATAGTGCTATATCAAACCATCAGTGTAGGCTCTTTATGAATGATCACAGGCCTGAAACCAGGCTGTCTGACTCTGCAGTTTAATAGCTTTAAGACTTTAGACAAATTCCTTGACCTATCTGTAGGGGAAATAATAGGGTGGTTGTAAACATTAAATGACATGAAACACATTCGTTCTTACTGCAGTACCTGATATCTAGTAAGTCCTCAAAAAATGAGAGCTGTTATTATTTTATTGCTTAAAAGACCTGAGACAATATAATTTTTCCCAAGTTCTTTTCATATGCATTACATCTGACTTTGTTTACATTTGACTTCATTTCTAATGCAGTTTACTTAGGTCGTTTGATCAAGGAGAGGCCAGAGATAGTATTTTGTTTTCTCTTTTAGCCTCTATTAATAGTAAAAGTAGTATAATTGTTTGTTTTTCAAAGAATATATAGGGGTCTGTAGTACAGAATAATCCATTTTATAAGTTAAATATATATTTTTAATAATGTAATTGTATACATTATATATTTTCTAATTTTCTGATAGTTCTAGACCATTGAAAGCCTCTCAAATGGTGAATTCCTGCATCACCAGCACTTCTACACCTTCAAAGTGAGTTATATTTCTTGTGTACCCAAAATTTGTATTTTTAAGGATTTGGCTTACTCTAATTTCCAAGAGTATCCCCTCCTCTTTTATTTATTGTTTCTCTTTTTGCATGGTAACTGCTCTGTATTACCATACTTGGGAGTTTTCCTGAATTTACTTTAAACTGCAATGTAGAGTATAACAAGTTTTTAACAGGGAAGCAATTTCAGATGATTCTCTCAAAATTTTGTTCTAAAACTTCTTAAATCATCTGTTAACATGTAATATTTTCCAGAAATTGACTGATGATGAGAAAATTTAAGGATGAAGGGCTGAAATAACCCATGTTGGTATAAAGCAAACTTCCTCAAAGATACACATGGAGATCCCAAAATATCTTTTTATTTGTTGCTAGCCAGTCTGGGACTTCTTGTCTCAGACATGGAACTGGAGCTATTCTGAAAGGAGACAGAAAAACAAACACACAGGGAATGTAGCTGTTTTACAAATGTTTTATTTTACTTTTTGTTTAAGACCAAAAGTTTGTCCAAGAAGGGAAACAAATACTTTTTTAAAATATACCTCCTCTATGATTAAACTAGAACCATAGTTTCTGATTAGACCATTCTAAATGACTTGCTTGTCATTGGTCTTTAAAATTAGTTTTTCTAAAAATCTGATGTCCCAAAGTACTTTTAGAAGAGACACTTTTGTGGTTTAAGGGCTTGGGGGGAGGCTTATATAACCATAAAATGACATTTGGGAATTGCTATTTTCTTTTCCTCCTGTTAATTATTTTTCAGTGCAATTAAAACCAGATGACTAACATGACTAGAAATCTGAAATGGTACCGATATGAATACTCTTGCCCGTTCTCAAGATACAAATGAGCAATACCACTTGGCTGCTTAGAAAGTGAGCAAGTGATGCATTTACAGGATGAATATTTTTCATTACTACAGGCAAGCTGCCTTCTGTGAATATAGTAACTATTAATGGAATGCACTCTTTATGTACCAGATCACTGTAGTTTCAAGAAAGAAATGGTTTCATTGAGCATCATTATACTTGGCATGGTCATTTGTTCTCCAGGGTCTGTTGGTATGAGAATTTGCGAGTTGGTCAATAAAGGATAATTAGGCCCTAGAAGACCTGTCATGCCGATCAAACTTAAAAGAGGCTGTTATGAACCAGAATACCATTGGTTCTTCTGCAGTGTCCTTTGTCACATTTGACCCTGGTATATTGGTAGCCAGGTGTCACCCTCGTTCAGCAAAGTATTCACGTGGATAAATAAACTAGTATGTTCAGTTTGCTTGGAGAGCATGAAATGAGAAATTGAGATGGCTGATTGGCTATTTCTAAGTTATACTAAAAACCCTTTTGAAGACATATGGGAGGCTATTCAAGTATTCAGGCTGGAGTGCAGTGATACCCTGGCTGCTCTCAGCCTCAGACTGTTTGAGCTTATCACTGACCACTTGCCTCTTTTCTTTGATCTACATTGCTGTGCAGTTCTCCTGGTTTCCATTGTGGCCTCTTATTTCTTGGTGCCATCATTCTAGATGTTTATGTACAATTTTTGCATTTAGATTAATCGCCTTTTTTCCTATTTCCATTTTACTTTTTTTTTTCAGTATAGCATATGAATTTATGTTAATCTCCATCAAAAACAGTTTGTGCTCTTTGACCTTGACCACTTTTTGCTTTAATTTATTTTCAGCTCACTTGGAAGTCAACACAGTAACACCTTACTTATCTAATATTGTTGAAGAGTATTTGATATTCCACATAAATGAATTTTTATATAACTGAAGTTTGCCTTTTTAAGCATTAATCATAAATTTCTTAAACCATTTTAGGTGGTTATATACTTAAGTAAAATATACTGAAGATAATTTAAATATATTATGATTTAGAATCAACATTACAAGTATCAGTTATTGCATTGTATTTTTATATGATAGTGCCCACAGACGGCATTATCCTAAAAGACGGTTTACCTTTACATTAAATAACTTGATAGTTCTTTATTGCCCTATTTGTGGTTATTTTCTCTCATTTTAGCTCTCATTTCTTGATGAACTTGCTATATTATTTTATACATCATTTCTTGGGAAAGAAGTGTCCCTGTCTAAAGAGTAAAGTACATGGGCTTTGAAACTGCTGCCTTCCTCAGAAGCCTTTTTTCTTACCTTTGAATTCCTGTGTTCGGGAAGGTAGAGGTTGCCAGAAGTCTGACTTACATATAAGTAGATAAGTGGAATGTTACTGTCCATTTTAAAGTACATGGATCATAATTTAAAAGATCAAAAAGTAGTTATCATACTCTCTTGTCAAAAACATTTATTCATTGCTATGTCTGCATGCATTCAGTTACTGTACTTGCTTTATAAAGACTATAACAAACTTCTTTGGGGCTGATCATTAAAAGAAAAAAGGCACAGAGTGATTGGTTTACTGATATATAAGAGCTGTCTAATTTTCAAAGCATGACTTTTGAAATGGGGCAAAGGTAATAAGTATATCTTTTAATATGTCTTTTTTTTTTCTGTTATTTTCCATATAAGAAAAGCTATTTGTTTTGTTTTGGGTTTTTTGTTTGTTTGTTTGCTCTGCTTTTTGGTATTTATATATCAGAAGAATAATGAGTAATGTTTATTTATCAGATTTATATAGGGTTTTTTGTTTTTGTTTTCTCCCTTGAATTACAGAAATTTCCCCTTCAAATCCAAGAGCTCGTTGACTTTGAGCCTTGATTCAGACAGTGAGGATGAACTAAAACGCTCTGTGGCCCTTAGCCAGAGATTTTGTGAAATGTCAGGCTGTGAGCAACAGCAGGAAGACCTGGAAAAGGTAAATAATTTCTTATCAGAATATCCGAAAAAGATTTGTATAGCTCTTACTGTTCAAACAAATGCCTTTAATAACCAGTATCAGCAAACAATACACAAGATAGATCTTAAATTTAATGGATATGTTCAAACGCTGGTTTTACTTATTTTTATTATTTTTTAATCCTTATCCAAGGACATTTTTGCATTTATCCTCAGATAGAGCCGGAGGGAGAAAGGGAGGAAGAGAGAGAGAAACATCAATGTGAAAGAGACACATCGAATGGTTGCCACCCACACAACCCCAACCGGGGTCGGGGACAGACCATAACTAAAGTATGTGCCTTTAGCGGGAGCCAAACCCAAGACTCTCTGGTCTGCAGGCCGACACTCTAACCACTGAACCAAATTGGCCAGGGCTTATTTGTTTTTTATCTTTTTTCTAGTTTTTTAATTACAGTTGACATACATTATTATATTAGTTTCAAGTGTACACCCTAGTGATTAGATATTATATCTTACTAAGTGATCATCCCAGTAAATCTTGCACCCATCTGACATAATACATAGTTATTAGAATATTATTGACTACATTTCCTATGATGTACTTTACATCATGACTATTCTGTAACAACCAATTTGTACTTCTTTTTTTTTCTTTATTGATTTTAGAGAGAGAAGAAGGGAGAGGGAGAGACAGACAGAAACATCAATGAGAGGGAACATCAATTGAGCACCTCCTGCATGCCCTCCATTAGGGACTTGGCCCACAACCTGGGCATGTGCCCTAACCGGGAATCGAACCAGTGACCTCTTGGTGCATGGGTCGATGCTCAGCCACTGAGCCACATGGGCTAGGCTTTCTGGTGGATTTTTAATGAATATATTATTTTTATGGATTTTTCAAATTTCTACGAAGAGTTGTACTTAACATTTTTTATAGCCAAGAAACGTGTATTTTTATTTAGTTATTATTAAAGGAATATTAGGCCCTGGCCGGTTTGGCTCAGCGGTTAGAGCGTCGGCCTGCGGTCTGGAGAGACCCGGGTTTGGTTCCCGCTAAGGGCATGTACCTCGGTTGCAGTTTGTCCCTGGCCCTGGTCGGTCGTGTGGGTGGCAGCCACTCGATGTGTTCCTTTCATATCGATGTTTCTCTCTCTCTCTCTGTTCCTCTCTCTCCCTCCCACTCTACCTGAACAAAAAATAGAAAAATGTCCTCAGGTGAGGATAAAAAAAATAAAAAAATTTTTTTTTAAAGAATATTAGGTTTGTTGATGAGTTTATGTATTGGTTATTGATTATTAAATAACCCAAAGCATTAAAGAAGGAAACTTTTAAGAAATAAAATAAACTTCTCACTTTAAACTCAGACTGTTATATTTATAGGCATTTAGGTTTCCTCTAAAAGTAACTCTTTTCTTCAGGATTCAAAATCATGCAGAATAGAGCCTGATAAGTCTGAATTGGAAAACTCGGGATTTGATGGAATGAGCGAAGAAGAGCTTCTAGCAGCTGTTTTAGAGATAAGTAAGAGAGAAGCTTCACCATCTCTGAGTCATGAGGATGATGATAAACCAACCAGCAGCCCAGATACCGGATTTGCAGAGGATGATACTCAAGAAATGCCTGAAAATTCAGATGCTATGGAAACAGAAAAACCCAAAACAATCACAGAGCCAGGTAGGTTTAATGAAGATCGCTGTAACACAAGGAACAACTAACTATGTATGTTCCAAAGCTTTATAGTGACAATTGGCTTTTTAAAAAAGGAAGATATGAGATGGAACTGTATAATGTATAACAGTTAATATTTTCGTGCTTTTCTTAACAGTTTAAAAAACGAGAAGTAAATAATGTGAATAGTACCCAGAGGCTAATGGTAAAATAAGCCATATTCCTTTAGGCATATATCAAAAGAAGTTATCATTCTTATGTGGATTTAATAAATGTATCAGTTTTTGATCATGTTTCTCTCACCACTGCTCTCAGAAATGTGTATTATTCATATTTCTTTGTTAATCCTCAGCTGAGAATATTTTTTCATTGATTTTCAGATAGAGTAGAAGGGAGAGAGGGAAAAAACATCGATGTGAGAGAGACGCATCAATTGGTTGCCTCCTGCACGACCCTGACCTGGGCTGGGGACCGGACCTGCAACTCAAGTACGTGCCCTTGACCAGGAATCGAACTTGAGACCCTTTAGTCCATAGGTTGACACTCTAACTGCTGAGCCATACCAACCAGGGCAGATCCTTTATTCTTTAGTTATCATCTTCCCCAATTGGATGCAGGCCATTGTTTTATTTCCTGTGTCTTTAACCTTGCCATTCCAATCACCTTCTTACTATAACTGAAAACTAAAGACATTGCTTCTCCTTTAATTCTTTATATTTAACATGGAAAATATTGAGCAGAGCAAATGTAGAGAGAAGTATAATGAACTTTCCCCCTTGTACCCATTATCTACAATAATTGTCAGTAAAAAAAAAAAACTTTTGTTTGATCTGTATTCCAGCTGCCTTCTTCATGCCATCTGGATTATTTAGAAGTGAATCCCAGGTATTAGATTATTTCATCAGTAAGGATTTCAGTGTCTCTAAACGATAACTCTTTTTTCTTTTTCTTTTTTTTCTTTTTTATCCTCACCCGAGGACATTTTTCCATTTTTTGTACAGACAGAGTGGGAGGGAGAGAGAGGAAGAGAGAGAGTGAGAAACATCGATGTGAAAGGGACACATCGAGTGGCTGCCACCCGCACGACCAACCAGGTCCGGGGACAAACTGCAACCAAGGTACATGCCCTTAGCGGGAACCGAACCTGGGTCTCTCCGGACCGCAGGCGGGCGCTCTAACCGCTGAGCCAAACCGGCCAGGGCGATAACTCTTTTTTTAAAAAACAACTTCAGCCCTGGTCGGTTTTGCTCAGCAGTTAGAGCGTCGGCCTGAGGTCCAGAGAGACCTGGGTTCGGTTCCCGCTAAGGGCACGTACCTCGGTTGCAGTTTGTCCCCGGCCCTGGTTGGGTCATGCTGGTGGCAACCACTTGATGTGTCCCTTTCATATCGATGTTTCTCTCTCTCTCTCCCTCCCTCCCACTCTGTCTGAACAGAATATGGAAAAATGTCCTCGGGTGAGGATAAAAAATAAATTGATTAATAAATTTATGCATTAAATTAATTAAATAAATATAAATAAAAAACTTCCATTACATTTTCATACTTTAAAATTTAACAATAATTCTAAGAAATTATCAAATGTGATCAAATTCTCCATTGGTCAAATGCAGAGAGAAGTTGAAGAATCAACAATGAACATTTGTATACACTTCACCTAGATACAGTAATATTTTATCACATTTGCTTTCTCCACCCTAACCCACCCTCGTATCTGTATGTGTGCTATTGTACAGCAGTTACCCCAAAATTAGGGCCTTAAAACAGCAATTTTAATATCTCATAATTCTACGGATTGACTGGTTTTTGAGCTTGCAGTTCTGCTCCACCTTGGCTTACCTTGGTGTGGTGTTGGTTAGAAGAGTCTGCTGGGATAGCTAAATACTCTTTCCATTTCTTCCTTCCCATCCCCCTGCTCATCTCCCTCCCCGTCTTCTCTTAATCTCTTCGTGTAAACTCAACGCATCTCCCTCTCCAAGTGGTTTCTCCAGCAGGGTAGCCAAGCTTCTTTTACGTGACAGCTCAAGGTTCCCAAACACACAAAAGGGGAAGCTGCCAGACCTCCTTAATGTTTAGACTCAAAATTAGCAAAGACTCAATTCCAGCACATTTTATTGGCTAAAGCATTCACGGATTCATTACTGGCTAAAGAACTGCACAAGAATAAGAACACTGATATGTATGGCTCATTGGAGGTCATTCTTGGAGACTATACACACACACTTTATTTTTTAGTGGAACCATTTGAAATTGCAGTTATCATGACACTTCACCCTAGAACACTACAAAGCCTGAATATCCTAAGCATATGGAAATTTTCGTACGTAACAATTATCTTGCCTAAGAACATTAATTCCATGTACAATTCAAAATAGAGCCCATATACATTTTCTAATTGTCTTCAGAATGTTTTTTATACTTCTTTCTTCAACCTAGAACCCAAACTTTACCCATTGCATTTGTTTGTTAGGTCCCTTTAATCTAGTAAAGGCCAGTTTTTCTTCGAAAGGCTCCCATTATTCATTGTCCTACTGCTCTTTAAGTATAACTGTTAATTTTTGTTTTGTTTTTATCCTCACCCATGGACATTTTTTTTTTATCCTCATCCAAGAACGTTTCTGCATTTATCTTCAGACAGAGTGGGAGAGAAAGAGAGAAATGTCAATGTGAGAGAGACACATCAAGTGGTTGCCACCACACAACCCCAGCAGGAGCCAGGGACAAACTGCAACCGAGGTACAGGCCCTTAGCGGGAACCTAACCCAGGATTCTCCTGTCCACAGGCCGAAACTCCAACCTCTGAGCCAAACTGGCCAGGGCTATAACTGTTGTTTCCCCACACACACACACCCTAAAACTTCAGAGGCTGGAGATGGCTGCGTATCTCCTTTCATCCTACAAAAATTCTGGCTCCTTTGAAGTACATGACATCAGACTTGACCACCTATTATCTCTCAAGTAGCTGTCTTTTACCTTCCAGTCACTCCCATCAACATTCTTAGGGCTTTCAACATCTTCATAAATTATCCTTCACCAACCTGGTTTCTCAACACCTGATCTTAATTTCAAAGATCTCCTACCCCATCTTGATTACTGACAGAAGTCATACCCTAGACCAGTGGTTCTCTAAGTGTGTCCCCAGAGGTATCATGAGAGAACTCACTGGAAATGCCATTCTTGGACCCACCCCACACCTGTTGAATGAAGAACTCTAGGTGGGCTCAACATTTCTGTGGATTTTTGTTTGTTTTTATTTATTTTATTTTATGTTTTCTTTATTTTAGAGAAAGAGGAAGCGAGAGGGAGAGAGAGATAGAAATATTGATGAGAGAGAACATCAATTCACTGCTTCCTGCATGCCCCCCACTGGGGATCTGGCCCACAACCTGGGCATGTGCCCTGACTAAAATAGAACTGGTGACCTCTTGGTGCGTGGGTCGACGCTCAACCACTGAGCCACACCGATTGGGTGACATCTCTGTGTTTTGAGTCCAAGTGACTCTGATGCATGTTCAAGTTTGAGAACCACTTTCATCGCCTTCGTTATCTTCTGTAACTGTACCAACTTGAACTCTTTTTTTTTTTTTTTTTAATCACCCGAGGACATTTTTCCATTTTTTACTCAGAGCGGGAAGGAGAGAGAGAAAGAGAGAGAAACATCGATGTGAAAGGGACACATCGAGTGGCTGCCACCCACACGACCCAACCAGGGCCGGGGACAAACTGCAGCCAAGGTACATGCCCTTAGTGGGAACCGAACCCGGGTCTCTGTGGACCGCAGGCTGACGCTCTAACCGCTGAGCCAAACCAGCCAGGGCCCAACTTTGAACTCTTGATTTCAGATATTTCTCTTTAACCCTTCTCTCCTTCAAGCTCACTTATTGTCATATTATTTCAACAATTACTTGATCTCATTAAGTTCTTTGACTTCTACATTTTTGCTCTTAATCACCTCGCTCTTGTAATCATTTCCTTCCCCAATCTGGATACCATATTGCAATACTCTTTTTTTTTCTTTTCTCATGTCACAGCCACCTGACAAAACCCCCAACTCCCAACTCCACTAGCTTCTTATTCTGTGCCTATACCCAAGCAATTAGATTGCTGGAGAAGCCCAGCCAGTGTGGCTCAGTGGATTGAGCGTTGTCCCATGGATTGAGAGGTCCCAGTTTGATTCCTGGTCAGGGCACAGACCCAGGTTGCAGGCTCGATCCCCTGTAGGGGGCGTGCAGAAGGCAGCTGGTTGATGTATCTCTCTCATATAGATGTTTCTCTCCCTTCCTCTCTAAAAAAATCAATAAAAACATTGGAAAAAAAGGTTTGCTAGAGAAAATCACAAAACTGCTGGCTAAACATTCCTCAAATTTATGACTACACTTTTAAATGGGCACCAAATGCTACTGGTTCTTCTACATTCCTTAGTAAATTTCTTTTCAGTCTTCATGATCTCTTTCTCGAGGCTCTAGTTTTCCTTTCACACACACTCTAAGTTCATAACTTAGTGGTATACTTTTCAAAGAAAATAGATGCAATCAGATGAAAACTCAGCCTTCATTTTCATTATGAAGGGAATAGTTCTTATTTAAGGCCAGTCCCTTCATTCACATCCAGAATCTCATTTCACTTGTGCCTTCTAAAGACCTTCCCTCTTGAAATTATCATCTTTCTGTTCTGCATTAAGTCTTCCCTCTCTTCTGAATTATCTGTTGTGCCTTGGCTTCACCCATCTTTAAGAAACTGTCTTAGGACTTTATGTGCCCCTTCAGCTAGTGCCCCCTTTCTTTTCTCCCTTTACAGCAAAACTCTTGGAAAGAGTTGTTTAATTCATGCTCTCTCCTTTTTTTTTTTTTTATCCTCACCCAAGGATATTTTTCCATTTTTGGTACAGATAGAGTGGGAGGGAGAGAGGAACGGGGAGAGAGAGAGAAACATCGACGTGAAGGGACACATCGAGTGGCTGCCACCCGCACGACCAACCAGGGCCGGGGACAAACTGCAACCGAAGTACG